ATACGACTGCATAGATACTTTGATTTTATTATTGTATTATTGTTTTATTTATTATTGTCCGCCATCATAGCGGTCGGAAGGATATTATTAAAGGTGCCTTCTACGTCGAGGAAGGCTACCGAAGTGTGATCTTCCCTTCCGATAGGCATGCTGGGAGAGTGAGATCAGACTGGGTGGAATACACGCTGTGAGATGCAGCCCCAGGAGCCGTTCCATCACCTTTAGAAGAAAAGACGATAAACTAATGGATCTCAAATCTTTTAGGGGCAGTATGCGAAGGCTTGCCTGCCTTGGGAATAAAAAGGACTTTGGTCTGAAGCTAGGTATCAGGGATGGACCCGTGGGGGTCCAAGACTGGTCGGTGTTCTTCAGGTAGCCCAGGGTGGGAGTAGTCTTCGAGAGAACTCTGTACAGGCGTGAAGCCTCTGAGTTGTTCTCGATTTCACTACAGAACTTACACTTTGTTTGGCGCGTTTGGCTTTCCTAAGTTCTTTGTTGTAGGTTGACAGACTGGCCTTGTAATCGGCTCAGTTTTGCTCAAAGTTTTCAGCCTTAGCTTTATTGAAGAGTCTCCGGGAGGCTTTCCCGAGCTCCTCCAATTTCGGATTCCAGCATTCAGGTTTCTTCCGGCCTCTGCTCTCGCCAGAGCAAGGGCCTTATTGCAGGCGTCGGTGAAGATCTTAACAAGACGAGTCATGGACTCCCTGGAACACTCCTCATCGGGTGGGGACTCAGGGAGAACACGACAGAGGTGGTCTGAGTACAGTTTGTCCGCCTGAAGTTCCGGAATTGAGCTGGTCTCGGCAGTGAAAAATGGAATACGGTTTCCACGTACCTGTGGTAGGAGAAGGAGTGTTCTTCCAGGACCCTCCAGGATACAATGTTACTCTGTATTTCATGAGAGGCAAGCGTGAGGTCCAAAACCTCCTTGCTGTTTTTAATAATGAAGGTGGGGTCACAACCCCGATTCAGTAAGACCATCTAAGTGGTCAGTAAATAATTGAAAAGGTACTCACCCCTTTCGTTAGTGTCAGTGAGTCCACACTGGCAGTTATGTGCGTTGTCGTCGCACTCTACGATGAGGCCGGTGTACTTGGCCTCGCAGTCTGCGATTAGCGCCCGGAACGCATGTGGAGGGTGTTTGGGTTGATCGTGACCCATGTAAGTAATAATATTTTTTAAATGGTATTTTGAATAATAGCTAATATAGAACACAAGGATAAGACCAAAATATGTTGTGGCCACTAGGTGGATCAATATAAAACTAAACTTATGATACCCAATCTCACGATCTTGAGCCCTCGCTCATTGTCCGTCAGGACCGTCGCAGCTCAGCAGAAGCGCTGACATTGCGCCTCGTGTCTGGTGTCCGATGCAGGCCGGCATCCGGCGGTCTCGGCGGCCGCGCTCCCACGATCAGTGAATCGAGGCTTCGAGGCTCACTGCTGTTTGGTCTTCAGTGCTGAAATTTGGGAGAAAAAATAAGTGCAAATCTCTTTTTGCAAAGGTGCAGGTGCGGGTTTTACCTGCAGTATCAGCTACGTATAGCTTATAGTCAGGAGCCCTCAGATCAGAGATCCTATTTCCGAGGATCCAGGGATCCTGAATGAGGACTGTGGGTTCTACACCCTTGGCTAGGTGGAGCAAGAGAGCAGCGCATGCTGCCTTAAAAGGGTGAAGGTTTATCTGCAGGATTATCAGCGTCATTCCTGGGGCTTACCTCCACCATTGTCTTATCGTGGTCGCTGTCAGAAGAGTCCAGCTCCTCCCTGACCTCGTGTGCTTGAGACCCCTAGTCGCTCACTTCGGACACATAGCCATCCAGGATGTAATCCGACACCACTGATGCTACGTCCGGAGAACCCATGCTCTGGCATAGTCCGCGTGCCCCGGGAAGCCTTGTTTACACTGAATGTCGGCAGCTATCCAGAGTCCGCATATTAGCGACCGAGCACTCCTCGGTCATGCACCCCTAGGCACATGACAGTTTCACCTTGGATTGGGGTTATTTCAGTGTGAGTTTGCTTCTCTCCGTCCGACTACAATTAGCCAGCATCCTGGCAGAGTCATGGCCGTACCAGGACCTGTTTCCAGCCGCCCTTACGGGGAGAGTACAGTCGCACTTCCACCGGTGTGTCAAGTTACGGCGTCTGCCGATTCGGTCGTGACCCCCTGTATCCTAGAAGGTGCTGCACAGTCGCATCTGATGCCTGTGCCCCATTCCAAGTTTACAGTTTTGACAAACCGTAGCCCCCTGTAGCAAGTTTTAACTCATTCCAGAGTCCTAATGTATGCGGATGATTTCAAGTTATATTTTGCCAATGTTCCCGTTATTTCTTCAAACAGAACTGGACGCTCTTAATAATTGGTGTTTAATTAGCGTTCTTCCATTTAACATTTTAATATGTAACGACATGACTTTCCATCGCAACAAGCCTTACCTTTTTGACTTCTCAGTCAATAACATTTCCTTGGAACGCCGGTGCAATGTTAGACTTGGGAAATATCTTTTTAACTAACTTATGTTTTAATTCCCATGTATCCGATATTTCGAATAGAGCTTGATTTTATCAAAAGATGGTCTAAGGAATTCTCTGACCCTGCGTGCTCTATGTCACTTTTAAAAGGGCTCACGGGCCCACTGCCCTCGGGCCTTATGAGACTGGGCGTTATGACATGTATCCCGACGTGTTCCGTGTTCCGACGTGAAGTTAGAGATCAATCAGAACCACTGCTGCACCTCGAGACGACCCATCCTTTCTAAAAGTTATGTACCGACCTGCCAAAACCTCGGAACTAAGAATGTCCGGCTTTACCCAGGTTTCGCTAAACACAATAACGTGGGAAGCAAGTGCAACACTACCCGGAAAGGAATGCTGAGCTTACTACGTAAGCCTCTAACATTCTGATAAGTTACTAAAAGAGAAGCTAGTTTTTTGGAAGGGTGGAAGCAGGACGGAAGCAGGACCACCTTTAAACCGACGGCTTTTATTTTGTTTTATATAAAAGCAGTTACATCATTAGATGTGAGGTCAGGGGCCAGCCGTAAGACAAAAACTTGTCGTTTTGGTGGGAAATCCACCAGTGGTTTAGGCACCTCAGGCTTAGTACCTGTGGTGGCAATATCCGGAGGTCCGGAACGTCTATTTACTGGTGGGATCGGAATGGACAGGACAGCTAGTGAGCTTGCGGACACCACAGACACGGACGCTATAGACGTTATTGGCTGCACGTTCTCCGAGGCGCATCTGCATCGCCAGCAGCTGTCGTTTCACGTCGAGTAGCAAACGAGATCAACTGCTGCACATTTGGAGTGGTCGGAGTCAATTTTTCGGCCGTCAGCAGCTGAGTGACGGTTGGCACTTGCAGATCCCGCGGAGTGAGCCTTTTACGCCTCGGAGACTCATTCAGCAGTTGCAGACTGCTAACCTGAGACGCCATAGCTAGAAGCCGATCGTACTACTTATTATAGCCAACGGTCAGCTCCTTAAAGCCCTTCACGTCTGCCTCATAAATATTACCATGTCATTCTCAACCGCACGGCAAGCCATTACGTTTTAAGATGGCATTCTATCGTATTCTATCGCAGAGCCAGCAGGGGGTACTTGGCTGATCATGGGTGATCTCTTTCAGGCAAGTTTTTTTTGGAAAAGACCACAGAGAACTGCATAATAAGAGACAAATTTGAACAAAAAAACCATAAAATACAATTTCAAAACAAATAGTTATCAGATCAGCGTGCCAAACAAACGCTAATGAAAGTAAGCCAGCTACTGAACAGAAAGTTTCGAGAGCCTATCGGTGGCCTCGGACTTCGGCTTTCACAGCTTATTTTTTACCCGGTTGGAAAATCTCCTGAAGAGCCTATCCACCTGGGGATCATTGGTTCTGATAAACTCTAGCCTGAGCCTCTTTCTGAGTAGAAGTATTCCTTCAATTTCAATAAAAAAAAAGTCGTACTTCTGCGGCTTTGTGACGACTGAGTACCTTTTGGACTTTGGGGGGCAGCAGCTGCAGAAGGATCACAAGCTTTGGCTTGATTGTGCCAACGTCCAAGTCAAAATAAGTTCAGATAAGCGCCAACAAATTCTATTGAAGTAAAGATTTTTTAATTATATTTAATTAAATTAGTTATATTGTTTTTTTTGTATTATTTTATCATCAAAAACTTAAAGCTGTAGCAATATCCGTGTTTTTGTGTTTTAGTTTTTTTTTTTAGCTTTTTTAGATTCGAAGAAAAACATATTGAGAGCAATATGTAGACCTATTTCCGACACTGTAGTAGGTTACAGTGGATTTCTGTTTTAGTTCAGATAGTCCAATCAGAAGTTAAATAATTTGATAAATGAATTTGAAAATTTATTTTATAAATTTTCCAACGTTATTTTATTTTGATATTGTACGATACTAATAATAATTTACAAATAAAAATTCGTTTTGTATGTATGTAAATGTATGTTGCACATATTGCTTAAATTACATACATACAAATGTTAATGTTATGCATAAAGTGAAAATGTGTAGAATTGTATCACTATAAATTTACAAATGTATACATAAAATGGCCAATGCTAAATGTATTCACTTAAAATACTGGAAGGCAGAGTGACTTCAAAAAAATTATGCGCAGAATAAAAAAAATAAAATACCCACATAACTGGTGATAGGCGATAGTATCAAATTATGAACCACGCCACCACCCAAAATTACAACCCATGTGCAGAAAATCGATATTCTAGTCAAACTACTAGTATAACTGCTTGTAGCACTTACCCCGTGTATAGTAAAAAATGTATCTTATTAACTAAAATGTATAAATATGGTTGGATGCGCACATTAATATATACAAAAGAAGGATATTTAACCACATCGCAGATATTAGTCTAAATTGGTTGCAGACTGTGTAGGCTTGACAATTATTTAATACCTCTCGGTTTTGCTGAATTAATGCACGTACATATGTACATATGTGCATAATGTATGTGCATGTGAAAGTATATGGGCTTGTGGATACTATTTGTGAAACTAGATTCCGTGCTTTGCAATGATCAGTGGTAAAACTGGAAAATTAACAATGCATCTTGTTCGTAGTAACTTTTGCCAACGATGATTATTTGAAATCGCCGTCAACAAATATTGGAGTCCAACTACAGAATTTGCATACATCGTACAGGACCGATCATACCAACATGAAGAAGGCAGAAGCTGAACAAAATATGAATGACACATCGGTTAAACTTAACCAAAGTGTAACATTTGTCCGGAGTAGTGGAATCACTAATGGAGCTGTTTTTCATGAGGATGTCATTGAAACCGAGTGGAATTTCCCTCCAAAAGTGCCAACTCCGCACATCTACCATTGCATTAACCCAGTAAGTCAGAAAATCGAGTAATTCTAACTTCGGTGCACCGAAATTAATCTACATATGTACATATGTACATACATATGTACCTTTGAAGATTTATTAAAAAAGTAAATATACATATATATATATGTATGTATATATATATATACATATGTATGTATATATACACAAAAAGAGTTTGTTTCAAAGATACCGAAGATTGGAGACCTGGCTGCTTTGTAAAAATGCAGCGTGATACATCCTCTTATTTTTTCAATTGCTTGTTTTGAAGCAAAACGACAGCAGAAATTTCGTGATCTAAGAAGATCCATACATCTTAGATGCAACACTTGTGTGTCTAACATGTCTGACGAACTGTGAGTAACAGCATGCAAATTGAAAATTAAATTGCTAATGGTCAAGATTTCAGATTCGTGAAGTCATTTCGGATCGACACACAAACTTTCAAAACGATTTTGGAGAAAGATGATATATGCTTTCCCCTGGATATAAAGAACATAGCGGCAATTTTAAAATACAAAATTAATTTTCTGCACTTACACTTTAAAGTCTGAAATAAATGGGGCGGGAAACAGCTGTGCTCACCCAGATGTTTTGTTAAGCGCATGTCACAGTCTGAGCTGCTACATGCACATTTGTGCTGGTATGCGCAAAAATATATTTCTTGCCAACGTTCCGATTACCAAATCGGACTGCGTCAGCTGTTTCGTTGTTGCCCTGGCCAATTTTTTCCAAGTCAAATTTAAGGTTGGGTTAAAATAAAATTATATATAAAGAAAGCACAAGCTAAATTGAATTGATTAGGTGTCAAGTTTATGTTAATAAGTCATAAATTTGTTTAAGCTTGCAATTAAAATTACGTTTCGTTGTAAGCCGCTTACTTTTCATTTGAGGAAAATGTTTTTGTATTGAAAAGTAAGAAATCTTGCGGATTCTGAAAAAGGGACCCTCAATTTAGATATGTGATTTCAAGATACATGGGAAAGTTTTTGTGAAAGTGAAAAACGGAGCCTGGCTGACAAGCTACATTTTTTCTCGATATTTGTCCATATCAACGGCCAATGTAAATGTTACTAACGTCGTCTCTCACTCTCTCTAGAAGTGTGGCTTCGTAATGAATTGTGGGAATTCATAGACGCATTGCAAATCTATAAGAGAAAGAGAGATACAAAATTTCCATATCATAATAGTCTTGCGAAACCTGAAGAACATCTCTGTCACTTTTCCTCTCCCAGTGTAGCTTAGTAGTTAAAGTAATTTTCCCATTCTTCATTAGGTGGGAAGAAGATAGATAGTTTGAAGTAAAGTGGGTGAGAAATAAAATGGTGGTTTAAGAATCAAGTAGTGAAAAACGTTGGCAAAAATAAATTTTTGCGCTATCCATAACAGCGGGTGAAGACAGCCACATTCCCGCCACATTTAATTCAGACCTCAATTTTAAGTGCAACAAATTCACTTTGAGGTAACAACTAGATTGGCGGGAACTTTATCGAAAATCATTTTGAAAGTATGTATGTTTGTGGATACGAAAAAATTTCACAAATCTGACAGCCATTAGCAATTTAATTTTCAATTTGCATTTTTTCTTTAATTTCGCACTTTCTGCACTTGAAAAAAATAAAAGCATTTTTATCACGCTGTATATTTACGAAGCAACCAAGTCAGCTGGGTTTGTTTTCCAGACACGACGAGAATTGTTCGAATCTTGTTGGATGGTATCATTATTCTAGCCACACTGAAGGACCTAAGTTTCTTGTCCTTTTCTACTGTCTCAGCTTGCTGCAAGACTTTTTTCCAGAAATCTCGCTGGCCATCGAAATGAACATACATATGTATTTCCACAACATATTAGACATGTGAACTCTAAATGTGTCTTTTTTCAGGATTTACTGGTGGGAAGTGATAAGAACGGCTTTAAAGGACTTCGTAAGCAATTTAGTGGGCGATTTAAACGCTTAGTTACTCGAAAAGTAGAACACGGCCCAGTGATACCTCCGGAATTAAAGCCACAATTAAAAACAATATACGTGTACTAATTTTGGAAGAAACTTCGATGGCAAGCACAAATGATTCAATATATGCACGCATATACAATATTCATGTATAGATGTACTCGTATGTATTTTTATATATTGTGGAAAACATTAGTGATAATAAAAGCAAGATAAACTAAGCTCCAATTTTAATCAACATTTTTAAGTACTAAGTTAATCATGCGTAATGTGTATAATTTTCGTATATTATATGATACATCTCAAATTTTCCAAAGCATTTTAGATTTTATAAAAAAAAAATAGATACATTTAAACAAAGCATTTTTAATTTATATTTTACCTGTTGCGATTACCGGTCAACTTGATGGTCACGACAAACAAAAAGTATGAATTGGAAATGGTGATACCCAGTGAATTGGTATCAGAAGTCAGAAATGGCAAGATATAGAAACTAATCAAAAAATGGGTGAAAGTAGGGTACTGAGGAAAAACGAGTTGTTCCAGTGCGGCCATGACATTAATCTGCGCCAAGGCCAAGAAATACAGGTAAGCCAAAAAGAGGAGTGCTGGGAACATACTACTGTTTGAAAAATGCTGAGTCGGCCTCGGCGGTTATTCTCCACATCAGCATAGTGAGGCTAATGAGACAGACGCCTTAGCCAAAACGGCAACATACCGCAGCTCTCAAGGTACCCCACGATCCACTGTAAAGCAAATGTCGTGCCGAATCTACCCATCTCGTAGGAAAATACGCGGAAAAGACTGGGCAGCGCCAGTGCGTACTTTACAACATCGAAAGTTGGGAAGTTTTAGATGACCAGTCTGATCTCAGGTACTCTTTAGAACCCAAAACCCGCGGAATAAATTAACCCCAAAAAGGCTAACTGAGAAGCATGAAGCACAGTTTAAGAGAAATTACTGCCATTCAAAGCTACATTATGAAATGCAATGACTGCAAAAATAGAACGATAAAGAATAACGAGGATCCGGATCGCTCAGACTATATAACCAGTTTAGCACTATACAAAAAAGAAAGGAGGGAAGAAAAATAAACTTGAGGAATATATTTGCATTGGGAAAGTCGAATCCTCATGGCTTAAGGAAAATATATAATAGAATTTTGATTTGTTTTAGCTGCCGCCGTCGCTCCCTCTTTGTAGCTGCCGTCGCCCAGCAGCTCGGTAATGGGAGTCAAGTCTTCTGCTGCAGCCGTCATTTGTATATGGAAGTTGGTTGTGGCCTGCATTGTGGACGTGCTTTTGGAGGCCTGCGACAATCTTGTTCATTGTCGTTTCTATTTTGGACAGCCTATCTTCCAGGCTTTGTTGATGCTGGATCACAGCTGGAGCTGGCTTACCATTTTGTTCTGCCTGTATTTGCAAAGGCAAGATGAGCTTGTCCAGTTTAGTAGTGATGATGCTGATGTCGATATTGTTGTCATTTTTTGAGTGTTTGTTGCGATTTCGACTCAGTTGCTTGATGATCTGCTCCTGTAGTCGTAAACTTGGTGTGAAATTTTTCCCAGATCTCGATCTTCTCTGTCGTTCTTGTTTCTGCTGCACGGAATGACCCTCCCTGAAAGCAGTGACATAGCTCTTGGCTTGCTTTGATGTGCAGCGTGCTTCTGCACGTGTACGGGAATGACTTTGTTGGTTGCTCCGTTGCTGGGTGCGGGGCTTGCTTGCTTGGCGTCGTTGACTTTGGCTCCGAGTTTCAGAAGTCGTTTGTTGGCTTGGACGAATGCTGACCACTGCATTTCACACAGACGAAATCGCTTCGACAATAGTTGTGTGTATGACTAGTCCACCCAAATTCGGAATGGTAAGCACTTCTGAGTTGTTTGGCTTTGGTTTCAACTGTACACTGAACATGTTGAATGGTTCTTGGGATCCGCGGCGTGTAATGCAGCGAACGAATGTGGCCGCGTGTCCATGGCGATCTCTGATTACGATCCTGTAGCCTCTCTCCGCTTAGAGTTGGTACGTGTATGAAGGGGTGGTGCACTCACCGTCCCTGTAGTGGGGCTGCAGGACTCTGTAGGAGTCCACATCATTGCACATGATGCGAGGTCCACCTGGATGTGGATGCCCCAGATTTTCGTCCTTTGCGGGGGCGGAAGGGGGTGTGGCGATATTTTGACACAAAGCGGCTTAATTCATTTATTAATTATTCGTTTATTAAATAACGGAGAAGGGGTCTGCTCCTTCCGCCATCTCTCCAGCGACCTAAGCGTTCGCATCACGCTTGAGGCGAACTCCGCAGCCGCTTTCCACACTTTCGGGTCTGGCAGCATTAGTCGCACCAGAGTCTCGCTGCTGACCCTAGACCCTGCTGCTGCCTCCAGTGTCTGACGCTCATGGTCAAACCTGTGGCAGTCGAAGAGGACGTGACGAGCGTCTTCCTCCATGCCTGTGCCACATTCGGGGCTCCAGCCCTCTGTCTTATGGCAGAAACGCTTGAGGTAGCCACGGAAGCAGCCATGTCCGCTCAGTGCCTGGGTGAGGTAGCAATTTACCTGGCCGCGCTTCCTTTCAACCCAGCATGCTATGCTCGGGATGAGAGTGTGGGTCCATCGGCCTTTGGGTGTGTGGTCCCAACGAGACTGCCATCTGTCCAAGCTGATCCTTCTGGCGGCGTCCTTTATTTCTGCTTGGGAGCGTACTTCAGCTGCACCGTCCTGCGTGGCGTCGTGGGTCTCTTTCCTCTCCCGTATCAGCTCCTAAGCGGAACTAGCCCGGCAATGACTAGCGCTGCATCGTCCGAGATGGTCCGGAACGAGCACGCGATCCTCCACCCCTCGCATATAGCTTTTAACCTTCGCGGCTTTCGCCCAGAATGGTTCGGCGTAGACCATCTGTGACGTCACGACGCTCGTCAGCAACTCGTTGCAGGATTGGGCGTTGCCTTGCGGCGCCTCTGGTCTCCTGGTCCGTAGTCCCCAGGGTTCGCTGTTCCCTATTTCCTGCGGTTTCTTTTGCCTGCAGATGGATTGGAATCATTCCTGCTACCACTAGTGGTAGGATACCATACCGTCTTGGGATACCGTTCTGAATGCACAACACACTCTCAGGGCACACAGCCTCTGGAGTGCGTTGCATTCTCGGGCATACATATGTGCAGCGTACATTAGCGTTGAGCCAACTACGCTCGCTAGTAGCTTTTGCCTTGGCTGTTTCGGGCCTCCGCCATGATGCGGGATAGGGCCACCGCCGGCTTTCCTACTTTGGTGCATGCATACGCCATGTGATGCTTGAAGCTGAGTCTGTGGTCAATCATGAACTCCAGGTTCTTCAGGCTTGGACTGGAGCTAATAGTGCAGTCATCTACTCGGATCGTGGCCGTCTCCACTACTTTCCTGCTGCTTATGAGCACTGCCTCCGTTTTGTGGGTGGCTAATGAGAGGTCCCTCACGGATAGCGATGTTCTGGCTCGCTATGCCGCGTCGTTGTAGATTTCTTCCGCCTCTTCTATCTGTTTTGCCACTACGACTATTGCTATATCGTCGGCAAATCCTATCACTGTGGCACCAATTGGCATATTCATCTTGAGGATTCCATCATACATGATATTCCATGTCGGCCATGATCGGCCGTGGACCGATCCTTGGGGAACTCTTCCAGTGATTTGGTGCTCACGTGTCCCCTTATCCGTCTCATATATGAGCACTCGGTCTCTTAGGTAGTCCGCGATGTTTTTCTGCAGATACAACGGTATTTGGAAGTTTCTCAGTTTTTCTAGTATGTGATCCCAATTGGCAGAGTTGAATGCATTTTGGACGTCGAGTGTTGTCACTATTCAATACTCTTTGGTCCCGTACATCCATCGGGTGCTATCAATTGCTCGCTTTGCTATCTCACATACCTCGCCGATTGCGTCCACCGTGGACCTGCCCTTGTGGAACCCGTGCTGTCTCGGTGAAAGCTAACGCGTTACTGCCTTCTCCAGCCTCGTGCGGATTATGCGCTCGAGAATCTTACCCACTGTATCGAGCAGGCAGAGTGGTCTAGAGTGGCTCCTCGGCCGGCTTGTTTTCCTTGGGTAAGAGGACTAGCCGCTGTCGCTTTCATGGTAGGGGGAAGGTCCCTTCGGACATGCACGCATTGGTTAAACCCACGTACATTTGTGGATTGGTCTCAATGGCCGTGCGAGGAACGGTATTTGGGACCCCATCAGGTCCTGGTGCTTTGCCGTTCTTGATCCGTTGTAGAGCTTTGAGGACTTTGTCTTCCGTGGTGGCTTATATTTCAAGGGGCGGAATTCTATCCATCACCCTCTGGGCTGCCACAAATAGGGTTTCTACTATGTAAACCAGCAGTCACAGTTAAACAACACTCGCAGTCTCTTTATTACCAGCCTGTATGCGAAGCCCCAAGGGTTCGAATCTGCGTCATCCCAAAGCTTTTCGAAGCATTTGCGCTTGGAATCCTTGATCTGTCTCTTCAAGCAGCGTCTGCTTTCTTTATATTCTCCTTGGAGCCTCTCGAATTCTGAGGAACCTCTCGAATAATCCTTTGCCCGACAGGGTCCCGTAAGTACTATCCGGCCATAGCCTAGGTACTCTCGGCGATACCTAACGGTATCTCAGCATAGCAAAGACTTTCGTAGTAGTTCTTAGTCCAACAAGTCCCGTAAGTACTATCCGGCGATACCTGTCGGTATCTCAGACTAGCAAAGACCCTCGTAGTAATTCTTAGTCTGACAGGGTCCCATAAGTACTTTCCGGCGATAGCCTAGGTACTCTCGGCGATAACTGTCGGTATCTACGAATAGCAAAGACCTTCGTAGTAATTCTTAGTCCGACAGTGTCCCGTAAGTACTATCCGGCTAAAGCCTGGACACTCTCGGCGATACCTGTCGGTACCTAGCAAAGACCTTCGTAGTAATTCTTAGTCCGACAGGGTCCCGTCAGTACTATCCGGCGATAGCCTAGGTACTCTTGGCGATAACTGTCGGTATCTAGCAGAGCAAAGACCTTCGTATTAATTCTTAGTCCGACAGGGTCCCGGAAGTACTATCCGACGATAGCCTAGGTACTCTCGGCGATACCTGTCGGTATCTCAGCATTGCAAAGACCTTCGTTGTAATTCCTTGCCCAACAAGTCCCGTAAGTACTATCCGGCGAAAGGCTAGGTACTCTTGGCGATACCTGTCGGTATCTCCGCATGGCAAGTCCTTCGTAGTAATCCTTTGCCCGACAGGGTCCCGTAAGTACTATCCGGCGATAGCCTAGGTACTCTCGGCGATACCTGTCGGTATCTCCGCATGGCAGGACCTTCGTAGTAATCCTGTGCCCGACAAGGTACCGCAAGTACTATCCGGCGATAGGTACTCTCGGCGATCAACTTGAAGGAAAGCTCGTCCACAGCCGGGTCCCAGCGTATTCCAAGAACCTTGACATATTGGGCTATCTCCCTTTAGGGCTTCAAGTGGGTACTCACAAAAATGTCCTTTGGCAGCGAATTGAATAGTGACCAACAGTTTGAACTCCATTTTCGAAGTTTAAATTGAGCTTGGCTCAATAGCAAAATTAATTCATCTTTGAGTGCAACGAGATCGTCGATATTATCGCAACCAGTAGGAATATCATCCACGTACGCGTCTCGTACAAGCACAGAAGCAGCCTTCGGATACAAATCACTATGATCTTGATCAAGGTCTAGCTTTGAGAGCAAGATATGGATGAGCCACACATCGCGGCTGTCGCAGCTCAGCATGTAGACCACGTATACTTTCGTCGGCGGTGTCCACTATTTTACGCACCTCGGCGATGTTTAAACCCTTTGCGTTTGGCAACGAAAGAAAGTTTTGAATGAACGAATGAGCAATCAGTGATCTCCCATGCGTCCTGGTAATTGGCATCCGATATGGGAATATGCTTTATTAGAGACAACGCTTCACCATCCAGATATGATTTCAAATAATGCAACTTTTGGCAATTGGACAGACTACTCTTCTTGTCGACTGAGCCTAAGAACAAGTCACTAAACTGACACCAATCCTCGTATCTGCCCGAAAATGTCGGAATGCGTATTTTTGCGAACTGCAGCTCTGTGGTTCCCGATGAGTCCCGAATCCTCTCGAGGAGTTGAGTTTGCCCCTCAAATAAGCGTTCCACAGTGTTTGATAGCAGTAGATTTGAGTTGTCGTGCTCATTATCGTGACTGCTCCGGTCACGTATGGCTTCGGTGAAAAGCTCCATAAAGCGGTTGAAAGTTGCAACCAGTCGGTCCAACTTTTGCTCTAAGGTTTGCACAGAAGTACATGACTGGCATCTGGTAGAAACTCTTGAGCCTCCATAGCCACGCGAGTTAGGTGATTCGAGGTCGGATTTGCCTCGTGCGGCCATGCGTGCCGCTTGAATCAATAAACTGATGTTTCCTCCCTCTGATACAATAAGATCTGCAGACTTCTTCGTGCTCAGCGACCTTTTTAGGAATATAACAGTATAGGGCGTTCCACTGACTTTTTTGGCTTTTGGAACGGCTACACTTGTTTGTTTATCGAGCCAATCCACATACATATTTTCGTTCAAACATTTTTTAATTTGACCTGCATTTGTTTCATTTTGTTGCCAAACGACAAAAAATTTTCTTGCTCCTATCTTCAAAAGCTTTACTAATTGTATCTATAATGTCACCAATTCAAATCATATAATTGTGTACCGTATTTTCCTTGCATGTTTTACCCTTCTCTGAATTTCATACGGCAAACAACTGTGCATTTTTAAATTTTAATGCAAATTTCAAGAATTGTGGTGGAAAGTGGAATTTCTTACTATATACATTTCAACAAGAATCTATATATCTACGACAGACAAAAGGTTTCAGGGTAGGACTAGGTAGGTCTCATTTTGTATACCTTTTCTAAAATGTAGTTTTCCTTACTAGTTGCCACATCTTGAACGACTCACTTTAAACTACATTTACGAAGACATCACAACTACTATATACAGTTCACAACTCAAAACAAGCCCAACTGATTAAAAATCATCACAAAAATTTAATCAGAGATTTAAAGTTGTTATTAAAATGTCATTGCACGTGCTTTTTGATAACAACAGCTGGGTGGAACAGCTGATTTTGCAAATGTGGAGACATCTATAAAAATTTCTGGTACGCAGCTTTTTTGACTTTTCAAAATTACGTTTTGGCGAACAAAAGTGGTCGTTGGGACCATAGCGCGGCTCTGCTTCTGCGCTTTTTCGGCCAACAACAAAAATTTCAAAGCAACTTTAATTGCCCGTTTGTTTTGCTGGCTGCTCTCAAGTTTCGTATAGAAGAAAAATAATTTGTACGCTACATACGTAAAGCATTTACATATACGTATATGTAGGTGAACTAAATTAGTATATATTTTATTTTACATGAACTAGTTAAATACATATTTATAAACTATATATTGTTATTACACATTCATATATGTATACACGAAAAAATTTAATGTATACATATGTCCATATAGACATACTTATAAAAACGAATACATATGTACATATATAGTGGAATATATACATATGTATATTTTGATTTTTTTATATAAATGTAGATCACTATAAAACCCTAATAACCCTATATAACAATGATAACTGATTCGTGAAAATGAATTTAAAGCATATTTTATTATTTTGGATGTTGGCCTTGTTAAGTTATGCCAACCTAATTTGTTCGGAAAAGTATGAGGCTTTCAATGAATCTGCAACTACAAGTATAATTCATAAAAGAACCAGTAAATTTTTATTTGATACTATTTTTCGAATAAGTTCTGGGGTGTCAAACGCTTTTGGACTTGACACAGAAGATGATGTTGAGTATACTGAAAATTCAAGCCTAAAAAATTGCGACTGTGGTAAGTAGTCTTCAGTGACTGTATGATAAATATCAAAATGCGAACAAAACAAATACTAATATATTTGTTGAAAGTTAAACCATTTTTAAGAATGTGACTAAATAATATTGAATTTGTGAAAATTTACATTACTTGGCTTATTTCCAATTCGTGTTTGTTTTTTTACATACATATGTACATACATTTGTAGTCGTACCTCTATATAGGAACCATTTGTTTTTTATTTATTTATATTATTGTTTAGTTTTCTTTTGTTACTTTTAAAAAATTCTCAGTCACGCGGTGAAAATTACATTCTTATATGTTCATACATTACGGATAAATATTTTATCCAATACGATGCAAATTATACAAAACGAATATATGTGAAGTTTTCAAAGCTGAGTACAATTTTTTATAAAACAGATAACTGACTTACGGTCGATCTTAGATGTCATCGAAGACACCTTCCATTTCTTGTACATATTTTTAAAGCACAGAGGGTACCGTTTATTATCCCTTAAAGCATACAGAAATGTTCTACGAGCGTTATTCTCTAGGGTCCCCCAATTCCTCGATTTTTCGTTAGTGCTTAAACCATCAATCATATAATGGCACGCCTTTATATAGCAAAAATCAAAAATCTTATTGCTTTCTTCTACTTATACATACTTTGACAAATACTGCAACACTTTATCTTTATCCTAGTAAGGGGTTCGGAAATGCTTTCTTCGGGATGCTAAGTAAATCTACTCGAATCTTATATGTTTAATGTTTAATGTTTAGAGTTCAACTATGGAGAGTTAAACTGTGTAAAAATAGGAATGTACAAATTATAAAATTATCAGCTACTGGAAAGTTTGGTACACAATACAAGGCAGAAGAAAGTTAACTTAAATTATTCATTAAAGAGGATTTTACTTTGGAAGCACAAGTAGCAAAGGAAAAAAGATGGACAAATTTATTGTATTCGCAGCAAAGGCTACGGAAAGTCCAAAACGATCTGCAAGGGTAGTTTTAGAAATTCATTTAAACGTTAATAAGTTTCAAATATTTTTTTGTATAAGTTTCCTGAGATAAAAATTTCCACATAATTTTTTACTAATGAAAATATTACTGTTATAGATTGTGGCTTTTCAAATGAAGAAATAAGAATTGTTGGCGGAAAACCAACAGGCGTAAACCAATATCCGTGGATGGCACGAATTATTTACGATGGAAAATTTCATTGCGGTGGATCGTTATTAACTAAGGATTATGTTCTATCTGCAGCTCATTGCGTGAAAAAATTGCGAAGATCAAAAATAAGAATAATTTTCGGAGATCACGATCAGGAAATTACTTCTGAGTCTCAGGCCATTCAACGTGCTGTAACAGCTGTAATAAAACATAAGAGCTTTGATCCTGACACATACAATAATGATATTGCACTGTTAAGATTAAGGAAACCAATTGCATTTTCAAAAATTATAAAGCCAGTTTGTCTTCCCCGATACAATTACGATCCTGCAGGTATTTATTACTTAATTTATAAATTTCAATTATGATCATAAACATTCGATAATATTTAACCGTAGAACATAATCAGAGCATTGAAGGAACCCTCAGAATTGATACTCATAAAGATTGTATATTGGCAAGTTATGATGACAGGAAGAGGAGGGGGGTAATTTTTCGAGTTCATTAGAGTACAAAGTGGTGGAGAACAGCTCACCGAATACAAAACTCATCCTTCATTTAGACTTTGACACCAACAGGCAAATACGCTTGACTCCTCCAGCCCAACCGACCGAGGGGCGCTGCCGCCTGACGCGCAGCACGTTAATCGAACCGATCGCGTATATGCAGGAAATATATATGTTAGACTAATATTGGAGAAAAATTATAACTAAAAATTACTAAAAACTAAACTAAACTAAACGAAAACGGCAGAAGTTGTCTGCCGGCAACTTGCGACGACCTCCCATCCGTTTCAATGCATTTAAGAACGCCTTTGTTGACAAGTCAGAGACAAGTCAGAGACTACTTCGATGTAAACGGCCTTGGTGAGAAGGGAAACGAACACGGCTATGTATGATTTTGTAGGTCCCTTTCCTCGAATGCGTAGATATGTGTTGATGGGTCCACGAAAGTCAACTCCACAGCGTTCAAAGGGTCGAGCAGGAGCGAGTAGCAGCTTTGGTCTGTAGCGAACGCAGTGTAAACAGGAGCGGACAATTCGACGTGCCAAGTCTCTGGCGTTAACGATCGAATACTCCAACCGAATGAGAATGACGAAGGCTTTAGGTCCATCGTGATAGTCCCGAAGATGCAAATGGCAAATATAGTTCCATACAAATTTTAACTGACTTGGCAGCAGCAACGGATGTTTTTGACCGTCTGGTAGGTCTGAGTATTCCAATCGTCCACCAACCTTGATAAGTTCGAATCCGTTCACGACTTCTAAAAAGGGAGTAAGAAACTTTAAACTGATTTATCCAGTAGCTGGTGCTAAGCGACGCAAGTGAAGCAAGATTTCAGATGTCTTCTTCCCAGTCATGTCTCCGCCCCGGAGCAGCCGTCTCATTTTTGAGTCCTCTTACTCGCCAAAGGTTTCAAACCAAAGTTGCGGATTGGATTTATTAAATTTCAGAAGGATGATCTGAGCTAAATGTAGAGAGTTTGGAGCTGTTGGCTGTGCGGCTGCTACTTGAAGCCGCAGCAGTTGCTTTCTTAACTCCGTGTTCGCCATGTTTGTTGCGTCGTAAAATTTTTCACCGTCTTCTGCTGGTTTGTTTTCGATCGACGAACGCAAAAAATAGTGCTGAATAGAATAGAATAGAATAGTCGCCGGTGTTGCTACACCAGCGAACGACTCTAAGATGAGTGTAGCGTTATTGCTAAAAAAAATATTAAAAAATTTAATTTTATACTGGTAAATATGCAATGAAACAAAGGTAAACTTTGACACAATATTGTAAAACTCTAAAGCTCTAGGTCAAGTATTTCTGTATTGTCACTGCTTACATTACTATCTCATACCTCTCTCTTATTAATTTTGGATTTATTGTTCACTTTTAGGTCGAATTGGTACTGTTGTTGGTTGGGGACGAACTTCTGAAGGAGGAGAGCTGCCTTCCATCGTTAATCAAGTAAAAGTTCCGATTATGTCTGTTACAGAATGCCGAAATCAGAAATATAAAAGTACCCGAATTACCTCAACAATGTTGTGCGCCGGACGACCAAGCATGGACTCCTGTCAAGGCGATAGTGGAGGACCACTGCTGTTGTCTAATGGAGTTAAGTTTTTTATTGTCGGAATAGTTTCCTGGGGTGTCGGATGTGGTCGCGAGGGATATCCGGGTGTTTATACACGAGTAAGCAAATTTATTCCATGGATAAAATCTAACTTAGAAAATACGTGCTTGTGTTCTTAGTTTTTAGTTTTGTTATAAAAGTGTTTATATACAAATAAAAATATTTTTTAATTATTGATGACGTTAGAAATAATCCATAGGTTCCTGGCTGGTCCGGACCGCTCATTCGAAGATTCATGCCACGACACGATCTACTCATTTATTCAACATATTTGGCCGTTATTTCTCGCATATTCCGCCAGGGACGAGGAAGGTTTTTTTTTATTTTACTTATTTATTTATTATTGGGCTTTCCTAGTGGTACACGCAAATGGCTTATAATTAGAGCACTAGTCACTATATGTCACATTGGTTTTAGTTGTATCAAACTAAGCTAATATGATTATATACTCCTTTTTAATTTAAGTTTGCATATGTATGTCACATTCGTTATTGTTAAGTAAATTTAGGTAATAGCGAGGATGGGTGTGCGAACGTTCTACGCTTACTGCTTACGAAGCTGTAAAACTATTTAGGGTCCTGTGCAAAACGAGATAGGTAGTTGAGCGTTAAGAACTGAAAAGTTTGACCGAGATATTATAAAGCCAAAGAGAGAAGTAGGAGAGCCATCTTATTCAAATTTTTTATAAAGTCTTGATTTTAAGTTTTTAAGACTAAATAACTCTTTGATAAACCAGATCTAATCGGTCAAGATGGCGGAACAAAAGAATCAAAAAATGTGCCAAGTGCTTTGTATAAAATATGTGTGCCTTTTATAACATTAATGCATAAGTACAAAGCGGACCAATCAAAATACCTAATGAGGTTCGCAAACTCGGCCTTACGAAAGCAGCGGACACGTTCAGATAGCCTAGTCGACCGAACCAATACAGTTGATCCTATATCTATCCACACTTCGAAAGTAGAATGGTTGGCGTCTTCAGGTATAGTGAGTGGAAGCCCTCGGGTTAGCAACACTATGGTCGGATCCAAAACAAAGCACTGACTAAGCAATCGACCCAATGAGTTTTTCACGTGCTTGACATGAGACAGGGACAGGTCAAGCAAGTCGGCACTAGGGTACTATACTCGTTTACCGAAGATCAAACATCAAGTTGAAGTCACCACGAAACCACAATACAGTGTGGCACCACGCGGACGCACCACCACCATACGCCCCTCCTGAAGACGACCCGGCCCCACCGGTGACAACCGCTATGCAGCAGCCAGGCTCTTGAGGTACCACTACCGATCGGCACCCTGACTCGCGACTGTAACGACACTGCCATCGACACGAGTACGACCCCTATGACAAAGACCGAGCCGCTACTCCCACGTCCTCCCAGGCAGGAACCGCGAAAGGTGACCACCACCACACGAGACGCTAATCGGAACCCCGATGCACCTAGAGCCGACACGCCATCGATCGCCGCCGACATCATAGAAAGCCTCCCAGGCAATATTCTCAGCACTACGCCTGGGGCCATGTCGGAAGCCCTCGTCTCCCAAACTAGCCGTCGGTCCAACACTAGGATCGCCACCGAGACCCACACGAGCACACCACCCATGGTCGGGGCGTCGACACGGTAGACGCCCACATAAGAGAATACCCGCGCGATGTCGAACCAGCAATCGACACCACGATCCTCCCTAAGAACCCAGACCACACTTGCGACGATTCGGAGCGGATCTCCGACCCATGGTCCTCCGACATCGCGCCGAAGGTGCAGGAATTTCTGGACGAGGAGTTTCCAGCACTCGCAGGCCTCCGAGGGACCACGAATCGTCCTGAGGGACAACCGCCCCATAAAACAGTGGACTACCCGAAAAATCCAGCCATGCGCCGGATAGCGGAGGATATAATCAATCCATCCCGGAGCCCCCACAGTGCGCCAATCATCCGTAAAAGGAACGGGTGATAGCGTATGTGTGTAGACTATCGACAGCTCAAACAGCGTTCTATCGCGGACGCATACCCGCTACCCGGGATCAACTACATACTGGAGCAAGTCCAAAACGCACGCTTCATCTCGATCCTGGACCTGAAAAACGGGTATTGGCAGATACTGATGGCCCGCAATAGCAGGGAAGCCACGGCATTCACGATACTCGAAAGGGGACTGTACGAATGGAAAGTTATGCCTTTCGGTCTACACTCCGCGGGAGCCACGTTTCAACGGACCCTTGATGCCGTTATCGGCGCAGACATGGAACAGTTCGCGTTCGCTTATCTCGACGACATCGTCATCGTCGGGAAAGATTTTACGGAACACCTGAACAACGCGAATGAAGTTTTCGCCCGACTACGCAAGGCAAACCTTGTGATGCACCTATTTCAGGCTGATGTAACCTCAATCACGTCCAGGGGTCAATCCACAAGAAATTTGTTGTAATATATGGAACTTTGAGGGAGATGTCGGGTTTGGCCTATCTTAGAGAGGGTGGATCGTGGCTTGGTCGAGCGTTGCTAGTGGTGTGCGTCGAATGGTATCACAACGGCCCTAAGAGTGACAGGCTCCTAACCTAAACTACTCGAAAAGCTGACCAACATCAGCTCCTACATTCGTTGCTCACATAATGTCGCCTTGTTATTTCGCTTCCACCACTCAATGCTGCGCCATGCATTCAACTGCATAATCTGAAATCTCCAACAGCAAGCTTACTCTGACGACTTTCGGCTGCTAAACAAAGCACTAACAGAAAACAGAATTCGCTCCAGGATTTCAGCTCAACCGAGTGGGTGGCTGATTCGAGAACACTCACATCCCAGAAATCGATAATTGAATTTTGTCTGGATTTACGGTCTCTATCTGCACCTTAGTAATTGTCACGCTGATCCTAAGCTCTTATTTGTCTGGAATACTGAATTGTGAACACCAGGGACTTAGTAGATTGTTTGTGTTATCCGACCTTGCATGTTCTCTGTCCGTTACAGGCCGAAACTTCAGCAGAGTATGAGATGCCAGATCCGGTGGAATGCGTCTGCCTGAACAGCCGATCGACTTCGGTGGAATACCTGCTTCATTAAATCCGTTTTGGGCGAGGGATTCTAAGCTATGCGAATGCTGAATCACAGATTTTAACGGACCGAATAAAGCGAATCCCAAATCCCACGGAATCGATTCTATTTGGTCGGTTTTGCAGCGAATTGAGTGGTCGCAAGATGATGAATCTGCAATGACCTGATACATCAATATTACCAGCAGGGCTCGAGGCCACGCTGGTTATTGTTGCATTACTCGTATTTTGTTGTTGAAGTAATGGTTTTCATCGATGTTTTGGTATTGTCGACGCTTGGAAGCTGTGTTTAACAAAGTACATTAGAAAGGTATATCGTTTTTGTGTTATTTATACAATATAGTTGAAAAGAAAAGAGTAGTGTGCTTCTGTACATGTGTCTTACAAAGTATGTTAATAATGAACAAAATGTGTCTATTATACAATATAATGGTTATAAAGTGTAGTTATTCATATATCTCATGTGTTGATATTTATTGTTTCGTTTCTACGGTTTTTTTTTCCGGATTGAGAAAATAAAAAACAGTATTTTTTACTCAACAGAGATACTTTATTTTCTGAGAATCTATGTGTTGTTCTCAACGATTTGAGCCAAGACTAACTAACATGACAATCCAATAGTCCACCTACTGGATTTGCCAATTCGTTAAAATATATATGATAACTTTGTATATAATGGATATAGTTAAGTTTCTGTAGAAACATAAACATTATAGATTATTCAGTAAATATAAACATCAAATTATTTTTTTAACATTAGATTATAGCTATTCATGTCGCTTTATTCGAGCAACAATCAACAGAGTTTTAAGTTCATAAAATTAAGGTTTTATTTAAACACATAAATTTAAATACTTTGTTATTTTTTAAATTTGGACTATTGACGACGGCGGGTATTACGCTGCTTATCGAAACGCATTTCCATCTCTTCAAGAACCTTTGGTGTGTAACGAACTATAAGTTTTACAGAACCGATTGCTTGTTTTAACAATTCAACTGCCTTTTCATGGTTTTCCCCTTCAACCGACTGAAATTAAAATTGAATTTTTTAGAAAGCCATTATGAAATATGACAAAACACAGTTGTACTAATGTTAGCGTAGATAATCAAAGGAATGTGATAAATGCGGACACCACGGACACGGACGCTGCAGACGTACTTGGCTGCACGTTCTCCGAAGCGCTGAATTCGGCTACCGAATCCGCATCGCCAGCAGCTGTCGTTGCCCTTGGAGTGGCAAACGAGATCAACTGCTGCACACTTGGAGTGGTCGGAGTCAGTTTTTCGGCAGCGCACGGCTGAGTGACGGTTGGCACTTGTAGATCTCGCGGAGTAACCTTTTTACGCCTCGGAGACTCATTCAGCAGTTGCAGGCTGCCAAATTGAGACTCCATGGCTAGGAGCCGATCGTATTGCTTTTTAAAGCCAACGGTCAGCTCCTTAAAGCCCTTCGAAGTCTGCCCCATAAAAGCCACCATATCATTCTCCACCGCACGGCATGCCTCGCAACTGTAATGCAACCCATTACGTTTGACTATAGCATCACTCACGAGGCCAGAAAATCCAGCGCATTTTGCGTGCACTACGCTGTCGCAGAGCCATCAGGGGACATTCGGCTGATCGTGGGTGATCTGCTTCTTTATAGAAGCAAAGAAGCAAAGAATTTATTTCAAAAATTAAGTTTTTTAAAAACAATAGGCATGCACTCGCGTTAAAGAAGATTTTATCAAGGTTTATAAGGAAAAATACCGGCTATATTTGCAAAGTAAATGGAACAGAAGCGGAGCGTAAAACACGTCTGGCCACTACGAAAGAGAACGAACTAAACGTTATTTGTGTGCGTTATACTATACTATACTATAAGCTCCTGAACAACTGCCGTCTTATTTTCGGATAAACAACTGAACAGTAGAACATTAGAAGATCATTATGCCGAAAACATGTAAAATGCGATAATAACGAGATTACATAAAAAACGGTACATTTTTTTAGCGGTAGTTTTATTGATTCTTGATGCACTTGGCCATTTGGTGGTGCAGTCATTGCATGTCAACGCCGAAATAGAAAAATGTAAGGTAACTTAGAGGTTTTAACATACCACTCCATTGACCGACAGCAATTGATCGCCTCTTTTGAGACCTCCATGTCTATCCGCAACTCCTCCCGGTATAATGCGAGATATATAAATTGGAGAATTTTGTTCCTTGCCACCCATTACGTTGAAACCCAGACCTGTAAAAGAATTAAGACCAGTTTAGTTGCTTGCATGGTTTAATATGTGGTAAAGTCGAATATATATCATAGTTCGCAAACAACGGTCACCACTTTTTCCCTGTACTGTCTCGTCACTGATGAAACAGAAAAAGACCACGCAGACACGGTGTCTCACTGAACAGAACACTTTTTGTCTCTTCACTTGTGTTATGTGTTTCGTTTTTTCTGTTGAGCCCGACACACGATCGTGTTTCACAATAAAAACTTAAAGAGACACTTTTGATCAAGCGCTCACAGAAAAAGTGTCTTTTGATGAGCAGTACCAAAAAAGTGTCTGAGTAAATGATCCGATCTGAGCCAGATTCAGCAACCGGATAGATATGGTCATTATCTATGATTTTGCGTTTTTAGTTTTCTCGAATCTGCAATATTGTGGATGCAACAGATTTTCGTCCTTTGTTAGGGCGGAAGGAGGTAAGGTGAAAATGAGATATACGTTTTATAGTGAAATCTAACAGGATACCAAATTTGGTTACTCTAGCGTTAATAGTCTTTGAGATTTGGGGATATCCCCAGATTTTCGTTCTTTTGCGGGAGCGAAAGGGAGTGTGGCGAAATTTTGAAACAAACTCGTCAAGGTCTGATATCTTAGGAGTGTGGATACCAAATTTGGTTGCTCCAGCTTTTATAGTCTCTGAGATCTAGGCGCTAAAGTTTTACTCTAAGCAAAGCCGGCTATGCTACGTGTGTGTTAGAGAGAGACAGGGCGAGAAAAAATGAAATTGTTTTCTTGATGATGGTTATAATAATGATACGATCCAATTCAGATTCTGCAGTATAAAAGATATGATCACTCTCCAGATTCTGCGTTTTTGAATTGTGAATGCCGCAGATTTTCGTCCTTTGTGGGGGCGGAAGTGGGCGGGGCAAAGTTTTGAAATATTTTTGTGGCAGTGACATATCACAGAAGTCTGGATCCAAAACATCATTGCTCTAGCTCTTATAGTCTTTGAGCACTAGGCGCTGAAGGGGACAGACAGACAGACATGGCTCAATCGACTCGGCTATTGATGCTGATCAAGAATATATATACTTTATGGGGTCGGAAACGATTCCTTCTGGACGTTACACACATCCACTTTTACCACAAATCTAATATACCCCAATACTCATTTTGAGTATCGGGTATAAAAAGATCAAGAAGCGATACTGTTTACATACCATGACGATCCAATTTAAGGAGGTCACACAGGCATAACAAAAACACTAACAAAACTTAGAAGACACTATTATTGGAAAAAGATGACACGTCACATCAAAGAGTACATAAAAATATGTCCTAAATGCCTAGCGTCGAAAACGACGAAATATACAAGATCACCTCTAATTATTACAAACACACCAATATATGCTTTCGACAGAGTGATAATAGACACTATTGGTCCATTACCACGATCAGAGAATAGAAATGAATATGCAGTCACCTTAATATGTGATTTAACAAAATATTTAGTAGCCATTCCAATTGCAAATAAAAGCGCAACAATAGCCGTAGAAGCTATATTCGCATCTTTTATTCTGAAGTACAGTCCAATGAAGACGTTCATTACAGACATGGGAAGAGATTGTCCATACGAACTTGTATTCGGCTAACAACATAACCTACCGATTCAATTTAATAGCTTAGATAGAATAGATTAATAACCGCCTATAAAAGAGCAAGAATACTTTTTGAAGAAAATAAAGCTAAGCTAAAGTTTTCGATTTTAAGCTAGAAATATACCAAGTTTTGTTAAAAAACGAAACTGGCCACAAGTTGGATCCAGTTATGAACCAGTTTCGTATCTGAGACCTACAATATGCAAATAATAATGTGTATTTCAGTACTTTACAACCAGGGATGATATTTTTCTACTGTGGTAGATGGTATATGCTTCATTAATACATTCAAAATACATAAATAAATATCTGAAACCCTGAAGCCCACCTACCTTCTTCTGTTTTCGGTAGTTCAACTACTCGAGGGTGCGCATGTCCTTCGCTGGCAGCAAAAGCAGCAACGGTTGCTTTAGCTGTCGCAGAAGCACGAACATCATGTGAACCTTGTATATCAACCGTCTCATATACGTGTTCATAAACTTCTCGAACAGATGTCATAAAGTCTGAGCTTAAAACCCTCTGTAAAGCAGCAAGCTTGGTTGTTGGAAAGTCGCCGCTCGCTTGCAGCTTCTCGAGCAGCTCTATTGATCTTTTTACATCTGAATCAAGAAATTTTTAACTTATAAACAATCATCGAAGTAATCATCATGTATACAAATTACCTCTAGACAAGGTTAGTGGTTCAACGACGTCAGCCATATTACCATTAAATTCAAAAATATAAATCGTTGAATTAACTTTGTCTATTGACAACTCCTGAAAATAATGTGACCTGATGGAAAATTGCTAAAAATAGACATTCAGGCAATAACGCTTGCTAATTTGGATTGTGGGTCAAGAGAGCGTCAAACTGGTGCGTCGATTTGAAACCGTGGAAAATGGTACATGTAAAGTATTTCGTGTATGTTATTTTGGGTGGAGCAGTTATGTGAGAGCAAGTCGCCTAATTTTGAATAACATACGGTAGATCAAAAACGTTACTGCGAAGAGAGAGAAATCATTAGAAATAAAAAGCAACATAAGTGTTTGCAGCCGTTGTTAATCACTGCTCCCGGCTATAACTCGAATATAATATAATAAAATAATGTTTTCCAATAAGATTTAGTAATGCTTTCTTTTACTATTATCTCCTATCCGGGAGATGATTCCTGGTAAAAGTTTTTCCTCAAAATTTTTCAACAACGTTTTTATATTCAATAACTTGTTGAAGAGAAAAAATTGGGTGTAATAAACCTATACATTTAAGTACAATATAACTCCATTAAAAATTGAAGCAGATCTGTATGAAGTTTTGTTTGACCTTGGTGCTGAAATTTGCCTAATTATATACCACTTGATTTTCTGGTGCTCCTCACGTGCTTTCTACTACTCCTTCCCTGCTTGCAACACTCCCCGATCATTCTTCAGAAGATTTTCCAGCTTGTTTGCTATGGAAGGGCACCTTGGCCGCAGAAGCTTGGGCTACTTGGATCTGTCCCTGTCGGCATCAACGGAATTATTTTGGCCTCTCCACAAATCCGCAATATCATCATAGCAAATGTTTCTCTACACTCTCTACACACTTTTTTAATGGCTCTAAATTACGTATATGAAAAATCGTTTCTTACATAATGTAGCCTGGTTATTTCGCTTCCACCACTCAATGCTGCGCCATGCATTCAACTGCATAATCTGAAATCTCCAACAGCAAGCTTACTCTGACGACTTTCAGCTGCTAAACAAATCACTAACAGAAAACAGAATTCGCTCCAGGATTTCAGCTCAACCGAGTGGGTGGCTGATTCGAGAACACTCACATCCCAGAAGTCAATAATTGAATTTGTCTGGATTTACTGTCTCCATCTGCACCTTAGTAATTGTCATGCTGATCCTAAAGCCAGTTTTGCGCTTGTTTGTCTGGAATACTGTATAGTGAATAGGGACTTAGTAGATCGTGTTATCCGACCTTGCATGTTCTCCGTCCGTTACAGGCCGAAACATCAGCAGCAGTTTATGGGAATGCCAGATCCGGTGGAATGCGGGACGCACAGATATTTCTGGGCAGCAGCTTTGAATGGCATCATTTCGTCTGTATTCCTCTAAAAATTCAATTATTAATTTAGCGCACTGTTCCAACGAGTTGGCCCTTCCTGAATCAATGCCAACTGTTTCTCAACATCCTGTGCTTGTTTAAATTTTGCCATCGCTTAATTGTACTTTTGCCAACACATCCAAGCCAACCCAACCTATATATTTAAAAGAGTGTTTTAACAACGAAAATAAAATAGCTCAACCAAGTGGGTACCTTTCGTGCTTCTTCTCCTTCTCTCTTTAGTTTTTTCTTTCAGAGAGACGGGTCAAGACATAAAACTAAACATCGATGTTTCGCCACAAACAATCGATGTTTCAAAAAATTAAAAAACGTCCATGCATCGATGGTATCATCGATGTTTTTCCACCTCTATAGTAAATTAGAACTAATCTGTTCCAGCTAAAAAAATATAAGATTTTAGTTTAAATGAGTTTACCTCCTCTTCTTTTGAATCGCTTGAAGAAGCGTGGACTTGTAAAAAAGCAAAATGGTACTGCTCTATTTACATTAACATGTTGACATTTCTAAATGTATTTATTGAACCAACCGTGCATTGTTTTGTTACCCATTGCTAGATGTGCATTTGCATATATTGTATATATATACATATGTAAAATTTAACAAAGTTTCCCAGAGCAATATTTTAATGTGCACTTGACCCGGTAATTTTACTCGAAGAGAAGGGGTCCAGTGGTCCCTGGCGCAGTGAGCGAGGTATACATACATATGCATGTAAGGGGTTGTAATCGGCTCATAATATTGCATGCATATACATGTACAAAGATGTAAATACATTTATATGTATAAAAACTAGGTATTCTTCATCAAAATTAATAGCCGAATTTATATAGTCATGTTTGTCTGTCTGTTCCTCTTGCTTATCGTCTAATTTTTGAGTTGCGATGCCAGCTCCAACACTGAAGATACGAGAGAATCGAATTAACCAGAATTCTAAAAAGGTTCTGTTTCAGATCGGATCATTATGATGGGTAATCAACAAAAAACGGACTCTCCTGCTTCGTTCTCTCTCTTCATTTCCCTGTGTGTCCACCTTCTGTGTAGTGATCCGTTAAACCCTCCCGATGGCATTTCATAGGACGGCCAGAGGGACAGAGAGGTGTGTGTAATGGACCGTTTGGCCCCCTATGAAGTACTATCGGGACGGTATTGAAAACAATTAAATATTTTTTAAGAAGTAGAATGAAGATAGACAGAGTGCAGAAATATATTGCTCCGAGATTAATTCTCCGATGCCATTCAGACGCACATAGACGCGCATGCAAAAAAATTGCACAATAATTAAAAATACAAATACAAAAAACGACTCGAGTCGCGGTGAGGTTTTGTTGTTATTGGACTACTCCGAAATGCAATAAGCGTCAACGCCCAAATGATAGACCTAAATCCAACGATTGCTCATGGTAGTCATTCTTTAAAAGTTGATTGTATGAACCTGAATATAGCTGCTCATAGGGCTCTTCTAAATTTAATCTAGAAAAAATATCTTAGATTTTTAACCCCAATAATTTGTTCTTGTATCAAAACTATGGTTTTAATGAGTACCAGATTCAATATATGTAGCTATGTACATACATATGTCTGTCTGTCCGTCTAGATTGACGCCTAGAATTCTTAAATACAAAGAATTAGAGCTGGAGCAACGAAATCGTTTTACAGACTCCTGTGGATATGTCACCGAATAAAATTTGTACCATATTCACAATTTTGAACTATCGAAGATAACGAACACGCAGCATTAAAAATAATAGTATGTTTTATTTACCAGATTATGTAAAGTCGCTCTGTTATTGGCCATAATAAAGAAAATATGTAAGTTCCCCGGTGTCACATTCTCTACCGCAGGAAAAAAAAAAACGCGTTGCGGGAGTAGATTACCTCGTTTAATTACATAACGCTCGATCTCTTTTTGCCATGTATTATATGAACATATGTATATATTTATGTGGGTACATATGTATATAGGAACTGAGTGTACTGGGATACGTGCCTAGGTAAAACGCTGCGACCAGTTATGTTTCAGGGAAAACCTTGGCTCCAAATTTTAAAACAAACAAATATATAAAATAAAACAAATTATAAAGTGAACTAACAATATTTTACAGAATCAACGTCGGTATCAGAAGCAATAGAAGAAATTATTGCAGAGAACTATGATGATGAGGATACAAACAGCCCTTACGTATGCAGAGATGACACTAATTTGGAAAACAAACGCAGAAAAGCCGATGAACAGTTTTGGTTACATCGTATTAAAGAACGAATTGGTGTAACGGAATCCCATCATGGATATAAACTGTGTCCCAACAAATACAACGTTTGGCATAAGTGCTCACTTTATTGCGTTAATAGATGGACGAGCACACACACCCAGCCAAGTCAAAAATATCTTCGACGTTTCAAAAGATTACTGCGCAAATATCCAATAGAGACAGGTTGGAAAAAGGTTTATGATTCTGGTTGTAAATCATTTTACTTTTCCAATTCTACATCGCAAACCGTTTCGTGGTTACCTCCTTCCCACCCAAAAGCTCGCGCTACGCAAAGTGCCGCAATTTTCAGAAAACAGTTGTCTAATTCCCATGACGATTTTTTTTTAGATTCTAAAACAAAAACTGCCAATTTGAATGAAAGTTTGGATTCAGAAAATGCTTTCATTTCTTCAATCCACGGTAATAGTAAGAAACCCAAAATGCGCGACTTGGACCGCAAGCTTCAACGACGGCAACGAAAGGATAACTAAACATTTTTCGTACCAAATTTGATGTGAAATAAATAAATTGTTAAAAGCACAGTCTACATATCTTTATTTACATATGTTGTACATATTTGTGATTTATTTATTTTTTTCACATAAATAAATTTGTTTTAAATGTTTAATCGGACCACGGCAGAAACTAAAGTCGAATATAAAAACTTGTAATATTTTAGGTAAGTGTACGCACCAGAGCGATTGCCGAGTCACACAGTGGGCGAAATGGCCAATCTAGCCTTAATTGATTGATTGTTAACGATTCTAAATACCCTACTGGGTATGAAAGTAATTGCCATTTTGTTTTTCTCTCATATTTCGTGAAGCTGGGAAGCGGTAAACCGAACATATGTTGCAACAGCCGTTAGTTAAAATTTATTCTGAACTATCAATTTAAAGACTTGTTTGCTATTTTGTCAAAGGTGTATATGACTTTTAGTACTATCTTAAAACAGCTGTCGAAGTTAACCTTTGTAAAAGCTTTGCTCAAAAAACATATTGCTTTGTTTGGTAGAGTCCATCTTGTGAAACGGATACGATCTGGTTTCAAATGTTTTTGATATATGTATGTACATTCTCAAAGGTATTGTGTACTTGGATGTTCAAAATGATCTGCATGAGGATGGAGATCTCTCCATTTCCCTCTCTTTTGTGGTAGGTCCACCGCTGGTGATGCTCTGGTTGGTTCTTGGTACTACAGTATCTACAGAGGGGAGGGTAAATCAAAATTCATGGCATTGTCTGTTGGTGGGTCAAAAATTATAAGGAAAATCATAAGTTGTCCCTCCAAGGGATGGTGTTGCTGCCCTGGTGTGAAGGTTGTACCTTGACTAAGCATACAATTACGCATGGGTTCCTTCATTAAGATTCTAACCTGAGTCCCAGAATCACCAAACCGGCTGCTCCAAAAAACTGGTGAACCATTTTTCTATTCACTCTCAGAACGTACGCAGTTTTTTGGGCAAATGCGTCAAATTCATACAAATAGTGCGTATTTTGAATTTGACGCCATAGCTTTTACTGAAACCTGGCTAAACTCTTCTATCAATGATCATGAAATTTTCATTAACAATTACACTATTTATAGAATGGACCGCTATTTCTATTCTATTCTATTTAACCTGCTCTTACATTCCTCCTAGGCCTGATGCTAAGGTTTACTTAAACCACCTCTCAGCAATTAATACTGTCGTATCTGCATTAGGTTGCAATTATCGAATTATTGTCATGGGGGACTTTAACCTCCTCTTTCTTTCTTGGCTGCCTTGCGATGGCGCTTACCTGGTGCTTCCCAATTGCCCCAATGATTTCATCAATGGCCTAACGGATATTTCCCAATATCATTTCGTGAAGATCCTTGCCATCCAGCATTGGGCTCAGCCTTTCTACACGACATCTCAGAGATGTCCAAACTATGTCCCAGGAGGATAGCGAACTTTGTGAGAGCATCTGGATGGGATAATTGCTGACAGGAAGTCTCACAACGCAGGAAGGAATGATCCTATGCGGTATCACAACGGGCCGAAACCGGCCTAAGTGTGACGGGTTCCGAGCGAGCCCGGCAGCCGCCTCAACCTAACCTACCATCCAACTCTTTTGATATCCTTTGAGTGTACCCGATCTGGCGGTGCTGACAGTTCCATGGCTCTTTGCTACATAAAATGTTTTCGAAAAGCAAATTTTATTGATTTAAATCTTCATCTCTCGCTTTTTGATTAGTCGTTTCTTTATTCATTACCGAACATATACGAAACTGTCAACTTGTTTTATAGCTTTATTTACTCCGCCCTTAAATTTGTTCCAGAAATCATCGAATCACACGAATTTTCCTCACTTCACCTCCTAGGCTTGAAAACAATTCAATATTTTCAGCAGAAGTCCTAACCTTTCATTTCATCATATATACAAATCGACTGCCCTTAATCACATGGAAGTTCCCCATGACTATCTTGAGAAAGATTAGTATTAAAAAGTCAATGAGAGAAAAAATAATTTATTACTTAAGATAATCCGACCAATCTTACAACTTTCAGCTTAAACTGTCTCGATATAATTTTGAAATACTTTTTTGTAATTCCTCGAAAATTTTCGAGTTGTAATTTAAAAGTAAGTTTTATATGATTTAGCTTTTATTTGAATAATCAATTTGTAAGAGCAGTATCAAATATTGAGGACAGCACAAGCTACCCAGCCTTATTTTTGGTTTTAAATGTTTAATAGATATAAGTAAGTTGATCGATTTCCTTTAATGGCTAAAATTATACGTTCACATATATGTTTTTATATATTAATAAGTTTATATACATATAGTATTATTTAAACCATTGACTAGTTTGACAGTCATCAATTTACGTTAATGTTGGAGTGGTATGTCCTGTCCCACTGTTTCCTGACCCTTTACTGTCTCTAATCCTTGAACCAGACCCACTCTCATCGTGGGTTTCATTATTGTTTCGATGAGCTGTGACCGTATTTTTTGATCGAATGGACTCGGAGGTCTGTTTTCCAGGTTGGCCATTTGTTTTGTCTGCGGGTTCTGCTAAGTTATCTTCCTCATCAGAGCCTTCCACGCTGGATATTGATGAATTTGCCTTTAAAGTGTTGAAGATTGGTTTAATATTAATACTTTTAGCAAGTGTACAGTCCACCGAAATGAATATAGTCAGCAAAAGAGCTCGGCATGAAATCATGCCTCTAGATCATTACGCTTTTATACTTTCGATCATTACGAATCCTTCCTTAAGTCAGATTCGGATGATCATAACGAATCAATAAGAAAGCAGAATGTTTCATTGAAAGCAGAATGTTTCTGAAATGAGTGTGTGCTTTCACTGAAAAAATGTCAAACAAATTGTTCGGGCGACGCCCGAGTGTAAATTCTTTACTCGTCTTTCTATTTCCTATCCTATTCATTTTCTGTAACGTAACGTAAGCGTACCTTCGCATTTGCTCGCTCAGAAACATGTTCTCATTTCATCATCTATTCTTTATGGAACTTTTTGACAGCAATGCCACCGATTTTGCGGGGGTGGAAGGGGGTGGGGAGATGTTTTAAAATACACTTGAAACAGTGAGATATCACAGAAGTCTGGTTACAAAATATCGTTGCTTCGTAGTCTCTGAAAACTAGGGGCTCCTTGGGACGGACAGACAGACATGGGTTTATCGACTCGGCTATTGATGCTGATCAAGAAAATATATACTTTATGGGGTCGGAAACGCTTCCTTCTGGGTGTTACACACATCCACTTTCACAGCACTTGTTACTGATCCATAACATTTTGAAAATAACTTACGAAGTGAAGACGAAAATCGAGGATTTAATCATAATTGGACGGATTTCTTTGAATTATATTATATGCAGCACAGGTGGCTTTCCCACTTGACTTCTTGGGTGAAAGTTTGTTTTTCATTTAATTTGGACGTTGATATGCAATGACTGCCATGCAAGAACGCAGAATAGGAATCATAAAGTTTATGCGGCTCAACAAATCAGGCCATTCTAACGCACCATTGATCAATATGTACATACAAATCACACTATACATTTTTCCACGATTAACTAAGGATGGAAGGTTTATTAATAGCAATCTACAAGGGTAAGATGGAAATGTCACACTTGAATCACAATTGGGGCCCCGCAGAGCAAAAATTAGGGCCTAGGGGTTCTAGGGGCTAGAACATTGAAATGTCATTACTTTTCATTTCGAGGCATTAAGGTGTAACAGAGTTTAAAATCTTCTGCATACATAAGTACTCGAGCGTATGTTAATACCAAAGGCAGGTCATTGAGAAATAATGTAAGAAATAAGGAGCCTAGATGACTGCCTTGTGGTACTCCAGAAGTAACCTTTACTGGGAGTTTTTGAAGAGGACCCTTTGCGACTTGGAACAAAGGTTGCTAGAAATTTTAGGAGGTTGGGCGGAAACCCTAAAAGGTCAAGTGCTAGAAAAGTGGTTTACTGTGTCGAATTTTTACTGAAGTCATCATTATGTTAGATGTGAGGTCAGTGGCCAGTCGTGAGACAAAAACTTACGTTTCCGGCTTTATTATCTCCGAGGTGATCAATTCGGCTACCGAATTTGCATCACTAGCAGCTGTCTTTGCCCTTGAAGTGGCAAACGAAGTCAACTGCTGTACACATGAAAAGTTAGAGCTTGCAAGCCGTTACGTTTAGCGATAGCATCACCCACGAGGGCTACAAATTCAGCGCTCGCTGTTGCAGAGCCAGCAGGGGACACTAGGGAGATCATGGGTGATCTCACTCTTACAAGATTTTGTGGCGTAGACCACAGAGAATTCCATTCTAATATCTGAGAACATGAGGATCATTATTTTTGACAACATCTTCGAAATCGTGCTTTAACAAATGGGTTACTCTATTGGTTTTTCTGGCGTTAGTCGTGGTAGCCAAGAAAACCAGGAAGCCGGTTGCAAAGGTGGAACTACAAATCGTTACTAACTGGAGGGAACGCGCAGGTCTTTACCTGACGAGCAACACGATAAACAACCGATTAACCGATGGCACAGAGAGTATGTCAGCTAAAAACCAATAAGGACGCAGAAGAACTTACGACAAGCCCAGCAATCTGGTAGATATGGTCATTCACTATGATATTGAGTTTCGATTTTTTCGTTTCCTCAAAATTGTCGATGCCACAGATTTTCGTCCTTTTGTGGGACGGAAGGGGGCGGGCGAAACACATACACTCTCCTGTGTGTACTTAGCTATTGTTATAGTTATAGTTATACTATAACTATGCAAAGGATAGATTAAAGAGAATTTTTGTACGTCCTCCGAGCGCACATACCACGAAGCGTCGAAAAAAATTTAAATGGAATTTGTTCTTATGCAATGCTTTGGTGTTGCATAGTCTTTGCTTTAACTTACCATTTCTCTGCGTGACTTGTACTCAAAAAATTGAATTTTTCGCTCCTCTCGCATTCGCGTAAGCCGCATTAAAAGCGAATAATGTTGCTCTACACGATGTAAGCATGTTCTACAAATGGTTTTTGGCAACGGATCAGTCGGTGAAATCTGAAAATAAAAATATATTGATGGACTAATAATATACACTAATAATTTATATATGTATATGGAGAATGCAATTTTTCATTTGAAATAAATAACTTATAATTATTTTGTTTGCCTTTTAAATTTTTTTTATGGTTGTCGTTGTGAGTTGCTGCTGCGACCGCAACTCCACATTTATACCCAATACATAGTAAGTATGGCTACATTGAACGACAAAGATTGCGTGCGGAAGAGACGGAAAACGTGTCTGAACGTTTCGTCGGGTGCTGCGTAGCCACTGAAAACTGATTTGTTCCTTTTGGCTATACAAATGATCGATCTGATCTAGATTCGGCAATTTGGTAGATATGAATCTACGATTCTTCGTTTTTTGTTTTCTCGTATCTTTGAAATTGTGAATTCCACGGATTTTCGGCCTTTGTGGGGCGAAAGGGGGCGGGGCGATGTTTTGAAATACACTTGTAACAGAGACATATCACAGAACTCTGGATACAAAATGTCGTTGCTCTAGCTCGTATGGTCTCTGAGCACTAGGCGAACGGCAAGACGGATGGACGCACAGACATTTCTCAATTGACTCGACTATTAATGCTGATCATATGATGCTATACATATACATATAATCTAATGTATGTACATATGTATCTAATATACTATACTCATTTTAAGTATCGGGTATACAAACTAGTGAGGCTCGAAAGTCTTGGTATGCACTTAAGAAATTTTGTTTGTATAATAGAAGCAAATCGAAATTTTCGCCAAGACATTTTTGATTTCATTTATCTGTTAATAACTGTATACTATATGTATTTAAGATTAAGGATACAATAATATTACAGAATCTTTGTAATTACGAGGATCAAAACGATAATAAACATATGTACATAACTGTTCTGGCTACATCAATTATTTGTATACAAATCCACACAATGCTACTCAAAATATACCTGTTAAAATGGAAATGTGTGTACATATGTATATACTGAAAAATCTATATTATGTACAAGAGTTTCTTGACATACTGTATGTATTTACTCTGAACTCAAACATTTTGTATTTGAACTACCATATATGCTACCACAGAAAGTAAAGTTATTAAGTTTTTTAATACATACAGTTATTGGAAGGTAGCCGTTAATTTTTTCAACAAGACAGAGACGTTGGCCATGGTCGCTGTATATGTGAATTACAGTTCTGTGCATTTCAGAACATAGTCGGCAAAGAAACCCTGATATGCATGCCTTTTCAATACTGCCCATGACAATTAGTACTCTCTATGTATTAACGTGTTGAACTATGAGATTCGTTATCAATGCAAATAAAATATTGTATTTTCTCTTTCCAGATGTAATTTATATTACGAGGGTTGCATTTTCGATTAACCATACCAAGTAGAGAAATACCCCGCTTCCACTAGGGCACATTCCACAAATTAACCTTGTACTCAATTCTAAACAACATTCCCTGTCGAAATTATGTCTATGATGTGCATCTGCTATATGGATATGCGTTTTGATATTTATATACATATGTACAAATTAATATTATTAACAATTTTAATTCTTCATTAAAGCAAGAATCAAAGCAAATGGGATTGTATTCATTGTGTATAAAAACTAATAAACTTAATATAATTTTATTTAATATGTCTTTTGAATGTGCATGTTCCTGTTCCCAGTTCGGGAGCGAAATATATAATATTTTAATATTTCGCTACAACCTAGTTCTCAGATCCGAAAACGGGTTTGCAAGCAAAACGGGCTAAATATTATGGTAGCGGCAGAGTGTGACCAGCTGTGATTGATCTGCGGTTGCACTGTTCCAAGTTAGAATGTATTATTTGTGGGCACTGTGGATCTAGAGGACGGCAATGAAGGGAGAAAGCACCGCAATATTCGACAAATCTGTTTCGGCTGTACTGAATTCCCATTGTTTTACGCCCTTTACTAGATTCACTTCGTCACAGTCGCACCTAATCGCTTGTTTGGTTTCCGTTTTTTACTGTCCATTTTAGCTGTGTAATCAGAGTACTCTCATACACCACCATATTATGCTATGAGAAATTTCATTCATTAAAAATTACATTGGAAAAAAAAATTTCGCTGGCAAAAATCCTCCAGCTGAACCATCCATGAGGATGCCAGCTGGGCAATGGACACTGTATTATCCCGGGCAAGGGTAATGCACTGTCGATTGCTCTGTCCGGGGTAATGCAGTGTCTACCTAAGGCAATGGTCCAGCGACTTTCCGATCTAAAGTCGGGGGAACTGAACCAGGGCCATGGCTGGCGGGCACGGTGAGGAGCAACTCTCTCTGCGTGTCGCCAGCGGTCACACCTCGGACATAGCGAAAGCAGGCCATGTCAGTTGTAATCCTAAAGGCACAAAAATGGTGTGTTGCAAGATAAGCAGTACGGTTGCCGTTGTCGTGACAGACTTGGACCAGGAAAGGGTTCTATCCATAAGCAAGACCCAACCAGGTACCAGTTCCCTGGTAGGACACGGCCGAAGCGTTCCAGGGAGGGGTTGAAGGCTGAGGCCCCTTATAAGGCGGCCCTCGAGTTACTGAGCCGTCCCCAAGGCAAGGCGGATAGAGGAGAAATCCAAACTAGCCTGGGCTGAGCAACGGTTAGAGGATGGCCGCAGACACTACGCGCAGCTGCCGCAGATGCAGGTAGCGAATGGTGGATTCGCCAACACGGTGAAGGAGATGTTGGCCACCAAGAGTCCACGCTCGATCTAGAGTGCGCGTATGGCTGAACGGGGTCAAGATCTTAAAATGCAACTGGCTGGTGCAGAAGGTGCCCCAGTTGGAAGCTCTGTGAGAGTGGGCCAAGCTGGTGGTGGTAGTCTATACCAAAGACGAAGGTGCAGCTTTTTCGCTGCCTTTAATTTTTCAATAATTTCAGAAATTAATGATTTGGAAACATTATAATTTTTATTTGTTGTTAGTTGGTATTTTGAGGGTGGGCGAAGATAGCAGAGCCCTTTACAAATAGTAATGACGAGGTACCCACTTTGTTTGTGGGGGTCCAGCGACGAGTGAGAAAATATACAAAAGAAAAAGTCGGTAGTTTTTCAATAAGTGTATCTACAGGAAGAGTGTAGAGAATTGGTAAACGCAAATAAATGCACTACGGCAGCTTGTAGCGTAGGTGGAATCGAAACTTATTCTCTTTCTTACGAACTACGAGACGGTGAGCGCCGTATGGAACGTAATGGTATGGTGTCTATGGCTGTGTGCATGCACCAGATACGATCCATTCGAAAGCCGTGCTCTGGGCCACAGGAAGGCAGTCCTCGCGCGATAGGAACCCGGGTTGGATCATCTCCGGGTAGACGTCGGCGCCTAAGATGGTGGCTTGTTGATGAATCTGCGCATTTCCGCGCTTAATATCGTAAATTCGGAAACGGGGCTCGACCTTAAGGATAGTTTCCAGTTGGAGGTCGCCCTTCTTGGTCCAAATTATCGCGGTGCACACCTTCACGTTGCCAACTCGCTTAGTAGGTAGCTTGAAGGCGCTGGCCAATGAGTCGTCAAAGCAGCTCACCTTCATGGGTATCTGAGCGCGCCCGTTTCCAAATCATTATCCCGTATTTAGGTTATTTAGGTTCCTATGTTGTAGAATCCAGTCTATGGAGTGCGCCTACGACGGGGAGACGAGGAGACGGCGCGATGAGGTCGCCGCGACCTCACGGCGCTCGGCGTGAGTCTGTGTAAATGGCGGCAATGCAACCGAGACTGAACGGGCTTTTTTTTTTTCTTTTTTGTTTCTGCTCCGGTTCACCCCTCGAGTCCCCGGTGTCACAATCATAATTAACATAAAATAACATAATTAACATAACTTATTCGCTTATTCAATGTTAATGCATCAACAAGAAATATATATTTTTTTCAAATTAAAATTCGTTGTAGTGTATAAAATGTACAAAACTTCATTACGCTGGAAGCATTACGCTTTATTAAAAAAAACAACTGTTTTTCATCGGTATATTTTGAAAATTAGAAAGTATATTTCGGTGTATATTGGTATATTTTTAAGGGTAGGTGTTATCGATAAGTATCTTGTACGAATATATTGTAAGGGAACATTAAAAGTAATCAATTAGTTACTAGTTCTTTTCGAAATTAATAAAAGCAACAATTTTACGAACATGAATAGCACACTACGGAACAGGAGCAAGAAAAATCAATGCGTTTCTTTAAAACCTCTCGGCAAAGTAGATTCACCCCTAGCAAAATATCCTTTACCAAAACACATGTAAATATATGTACATATGTTTACATTAGTTCGAAGTGACTGGTTGATGACTGAGTTTACCTACAGTGACCTATGTAGACATGTATATGTATGTACATATGTAGTATATGTATTATATAGTGGAAAGATTTCCATAAGATATTTGTTACAGAATTATACAACTAATTTAAAAACAACTTTTAAAGATTTTTCGTGGCGGTGTGAACTTTCATACAGTGATTCAATTTGGTTTGGGCACACCCATCAAATAATAAGTAATAAGTGAAAAATTATATGAGTCTATGACCAAAAGAAAAAATAACAGGGGATTCATAAAATAGGCTATAGGACATGAAACATTGAATGCATCACATAACCACGAGAATTTTTAAGGTAAAGAGCTGGAGAAATATTCAGTCACTAAAACTCCCTTTAATAGCTATGTAGCTGTTTATCCTGACAAAACCATCGTTTCAAAGCTTAACTAAAAAGTGTTGGCCGAACTTCATATAAATCAACTAAACCGTAGTCTGAAAAGATGCAGAAAAACTAAAAAGAATCTATACAAAAAGCGAAATTTAGTTGATGGATAGTGTGCGTATACCATGAAATCTGGTATAAGCTTATTAGAAAATTGTGTAGGAATATTTAGAAACTGAAATTTTAGCTAGAGAAATGGAATTAGTTCTCCACTTTACCACCCCAAAACTTAAATCTTAAAACTCCACATGAGTTCCGTAATAAAACGCAAAACTATGGTGCACCAAAGTTAATTGATTCACTTTGTTATTATAACCTCCTAAATAGCTTCAAAACTGAGGAACCAGTTTGTGGAAACAGGCACCTTTCTGTTTCGGGGGTAAATATCCAAATCCTTTTTACAGCGAAAGTTTAACATTAGGTTGTGTCTCTATAGTAAGATATGTTGAGAACTGAGTGAAGATTGGTGAACTTTTCAATGTTATGGTAGAATTAAGTTTTCGAGGTACACATTTGTGGTTTTCTTAACTTAAACTAATACATACAACGCCTCAGGAATCTTAACATGCATAATATGCCGGATCGCTATTAAGCCAAGTGTCTGGAAGGTGCATGTTAACTCCAAACAGCACAAATTAAATGTGGATTTAACCAAGAAAAATACGATTAAAATATCCCCCAACAAATTATCTCAGCAGTTACTTTCAACCGAAAATAGTAGTACATACAAAGATAAAACCCCTCGAAAAAGTGAACATTCTGATTCTAGGATATGTGAAACATTACCTGGCAAGTTTTTTGATTTGGAGAAGTCAAATCAGTTTCACCAAGCTGATCCAAACGAAGATGAAGAGTGGATACGCTTTCAGCGAGAAATTAAAATGGCTGCTACCGTTTCTAGTACTATTGTGGCTGAGGAACAAGAAAATATTAATATTAAAAGACAACTAAAAGAAATTGATGAACAGATTGACAATTGGAAACGATTTATAAAAATAAATGATCAGAAAAATAGTCTAATTAATAAGGAACGCAAAGTCAACAAACAAGTTTTAGTACAGTCTGATTCAAGTTCAAGTGACGAAGAATACAGTGTTGATGACTTGTACGACTGGAGAACTAAAAACATGCATTCATAAATTAATTAATCTTAGATTTCGTACATGTATATCAATATAAATATAGAGATATGTTAAAAAATGTATTTTTTTATGCGCTCTAGTGGGAAATATAATAAACGAGTCGGTACGTGAGTCGCGGTGCATTACATTACTTCATCTTCAGTTAGTAGGTTAGGTTTAAGGCGGTAGCTGGGAGGGGGGGATGTGAGCCTCCCCCCACCAAGCTCACTTGGACCTGTAAAAGGTACGTTGTGTTGCCGCATGGGCATGTGCCCCTTCTCGTTGCCTGAACCGTGAGAGCAGACTACTGCAGGTTAGGGGCAGTCCCATCCGTAGGCTTCGATGTATTTGTACAAGGTCCCTGGTTTGATTTCGGACAGGTCCGAAATGTCCGTGAGGAAAGCGGCCCCGAGAATACGAAGACGACGATTTCCAAGGGCTGGGTAGTGGCAGAAGAAGTGGGGGACCGATTCCTCCTCCTCGTCGAGACAACTCCTTCAGAAGTCGTTATGAGGGATTGACAGTCTGGAGGCATGAGTGCCGATCTGCCAGTGTCCCGTAATGGCTCGAGTAACTGCAGAGCACTGTGCTCTGCTGAGTCTATACAGCTCTGCTGAGCGCTTTTTCGATCGATATGGCCATATCAATCTTGAGACTACAGGAAACGGTTTGCCGCCATCTCGTATTGGCATTTTGCTCGAACAGCACGTAGCCAAGGGCATCGCTACTTGCTCCCTCTCCGATAGGAGAGGAGTCGTAGTATCCTGTCTGGCTAGCTCGTCGGCGGCGTCGTTCCCATCGATGTCCCTGTGGCCGGGGACCCATATAAGGAAGAGATCTAACTGCTCTGCGATATCGTGCAGAGACCTGCGGCAGTCATTTACAGTCGTCGAGTTCGACGATATTGAGCCTAGAGCTCTAATAGCTATTTGGCTGTCCGAGAAGACGAAATGGCCTGCTTGATGGCTTCAACCTCCGCTTGGAACACACTACAGTGATCCTGAGCCTGCTAAGCCAGGAGAAAATTTCCTGGGCGATCAGAAGCTTTAAGCCTTACAAGTCCGCGGGGCCAGACGGCATTTTCCCTGCCCAACTGATTCACGCGGGATATAAAGCCATTAATTGGCTTCGAGGGAATCTTCTCCCACAGGTGCATTCCTGACACCTGGCTTCAGACCAAAGTCGTATTCATACCCAAGGAAGGCAAGCCCTCGCACACTGCCCCAAAAGATTTCAGACCCATTAGTCTATCGTCGTTTCTTCTGAACACGATGGAACGGCTTCTGGGGCTGCATCTATCGGCGTGTATTCGGCCCAGTCTGATCTCAGACTCCCAGCATGCCTATCGGAAGGGAAGATCCCCCGAAACCAAACTGTGGAAAGCGTCCGTGGTTGGGCACTCGGTAATCCTGATAAGACTCCCGCAATTACCAGAGAGGACTACTGTATTCCTAGTGATCACTTCTCGACGCCCTTCCAGGTATCAATCCCACCTAGGGAGGACTGGGAGATGGGCGAACCAGGACCTTCAAATGCGGTTCACTTCTACACTGATGGCTCAAACTTAGACGGCCGCGTGGGAGGCGGAGTCTTCTGCAGCGAGCTGAACATCAGTCATTGCTTCAGGGTCCCGGATCACTGTAGTGTGTTCCAAGCGGAGATTGAAGCCATCAAGGAGGCCATTTCTATAGTCTCCAAACTACGTCTAGACACGCACTTAGTGTGCGTCTTCTCGGACAGCCAAGCGGCTATTAAAGCTTTAGGCTCAATATCGTCGAACTCAGCGACTGTTAATGACTGCCGCAGGTCTCTGAACGAGATCGCAGAGCAGTTAGATCTCTTCCTTATATGGGTCCCCGGCCACAGGGACATCGAGGGGAACGACGCCGCCGACGAGCTAGCCAGGCAGGGTACTACGATTCCTGTCCTATCGGAGACGGAGCAGGTAGCGAGGCCTTTAGCTACGTGCAGGCTCCTAACGCACGAATTGTTCGAGCAAAATGCCAATAGGAGATGGCAGGAAACCGTCTTCTGCCACTGCCCAACCCTTGGAATTCGTCTTCGTATTCTCGGGGCCGTTTTCCTCACAGGCGTAAGTTATTTTCCTGGGAGTATTTGAGATATCCATGCCTCTTAATAGTGTTGAGTTTATCTTTTTTTTGTTTTTGCTCAAAAATTTGGCTTGGTTGGATTAAGGCACACTAAACTTCAAGTTCTATATTGCTAAAATTGATACACTCATCTATACCACTAAACGATCGACTAACATATAATTGGACGTCATCGACTGCACATCACAGTCGGACAATACTATTGGGAGGTCATTTACATAACTGAAGAACAATAACCGACCAAGTACTGATCCCTGTGGGACAACACACTTAACATAAACAAAAGACGACATACTGCTACGACAGAGAAACTATAGGATTTATGAAGCCAAAAGCTTTAGTGTAGTCAAGAAAATTTAGGAATGTTACATTTCCGTCGTCCATTCTTTAACGGATATCATCTACAATTTTTATTTTGGCGGCTGTACAACTTCTATTTTGTCTGAATCTAGATTGGTTGTCGTAATTAATTTATGCGCTGAAAGAAATTTTTTATTGAATTATGTTATTTTGTTTTTGTTATGAGGTTTTTTTGGTGGTGTTTTTTATGGTGTTGCATAGTGTAATCAAAACATCGGGCTTAAAATCCCACTGAACGATTCACATAAAATATAGATTGTTGTTTTGTTTGAAAATACAATTTTATTCATTTGATTTAAGTTATAATTACTTTCAAGTTAAAAATGTTTGAAGTGTCTCAAATGATAAGCTCGCATTATTTAATGATGTTGGATTCTGTATATTATTATACCCTTTAAAATTAAGGCAGCGATGAAATCCCGGGTCTAGTCTTAAAAGTGATTGAATTTTTGGATTCGATAAGCCAAAAAAAGATTCTCCCTGCACATCAAATGGTATTTTTACTCTTTTATTAGCATACCGCTGAATGTTATTCAAAAGTTCAGCATGACACATATTAGGGGTTTCTCCAAAATACACACCATCCAAATCATTATCAGGGATTATTTGAAACTGAGGAACTCCAGCGTTGTTTAAGATTTTACAAGTGTATACACACTTTTTGTATGGATCCTTTGGATGGGCGTATATTCGTGTTGCCACATAACCAACTGGATATATCCAACCCTCATTATGGAAATTTAAATTCCCTGATATATCGCCTAATGAATGTAGCAGCAAATTATTTAAATGAATTGGAAAAGACTTTTTTAGTTGTGCCGTAGAACCATTTTGAGTATCCTTGTTTATTTCCCTTGGATATGAAACACTTTGTTTATTTTTGTTCAAAGCTCTTAAAAAATTATCATTGGATTCGAGCTTTCCATTTGAAACGCAGTTGGGTTCTATATTGGCCTTTTCTAAACCTTCGTAAAACATTAGTCGCTTAATTAGGTAGATCCTTTGATATCGAGTAGCAGCTAATTCAGACTGTAGATGGCAAATTTCATCAGTAAGGCACGAGTTTTCCTTAAAAAAAAAAAGATGAACAATTTAGTCAATTTTGGAAAGCGGGTATAAAGAATTCCGACATGTATAAGGTGTGCCATCTTTTAGTACGACATCCACCGATATCGCAAGGTAATGGCAATCGCAGACAAACGAGCGCAATTTGTAATTGTTGTTGTTTACATCCAAGACAGAACTCGGATTAACAATTCCTAGGTATGGCCTAGTAGGCAACGTGTGAGCCAAATTTTAAACGAAAATGTTAACCTTACATATTAAAACAAAGGTGACAAACTCCGCTTAACTAAGCGTCATAAAGACGCGCATTGCATTTTTTAAATACACAAGTTCTGGGACCTAGAATTGGAAAATGTAATTTTTAGGTGACCATCATAAATATTGGAGAGATCCGTGTCATCCACGGGCAACTTATTCATGTTCATATTTTCCGAGCCTCAATGGGTTACTTTGATGATACTTTATATACCGTTGATGAAATGCCGGAAATGTGTGCAGACTTAAAACAAATTGAGGATCTGTGGGGCATCCTTTCAGAAAAAGTTTATGCCTGTACAAGGTAGTACAACACCTTGAAGGACTTAAAAAAAGCGATCGTTGCAGAACGGGATAATCAGGGGATATATTTTACGTAGAAAATGGGTTCCAAGGAAAATGTTTTGAGGGAAATTAAATCTCTTAATAATTAATAGAGTTGCCCTTATACTACTCCTGAAGAGACTGCGGCCTATATAGGTTCCCTATACCCATTTTCTACGTAAAATATACATATACAATTTTTGTTGTTTACAAAATTGATATTGAATTTTTTCTGTGTTTTAGTTTTGAACTTATTAACAGCTAAACTAATAAAAATATAAAATAAATCAAAAAATAGGTGTTGAAAAAAACCTCATTTAAAGCAGTACAGATATAGTCCTTTTACTAAGGCAAATGTAATAACGATGATGGGAGTATGGTTGCGCTCAGTGCTTGAGTCGGATTTCGCAATGTGAAGGCGATACAAAACTGGGGACCATGACAAAACCCCATTTTCCCTTCTGTATTGTGTCTGAAAAGTGATATGGCATAACTTTTGCGTGTCTATTGTTACTAAACAAAACAATAAATCGAAATAAAAATTTGTCCATACTTTTTCATATGTATCTATACTAATAAGTGTGCCGTCACTTAATTGATTTATTGTATGTATTGTATGGATGTATTTATCCAGAGACGAAAGTAAACTTAAATGTTCTACTAAATTGTATAAAATTCACTAAACAAACTAAGCTAACAATAAACATATTGATAAAATCGTTTTGACGAACAAATTTCTTATTCTAATCGATTACATTTTTAAGGGTCTACGAATACGTATTTATATATTTGTATTACCAGTATGTACAATTTAATACACCGTTTCAATCTGTCGTACTTTCGTTTATAATTAAAATGCATGACTGGTTGAACTGGTTTTGAAAGAGATTTCATTTTGTTAGAAGCAGAATTAGAAAAATCATATCTTTCATATAGTGATGGGAAACCATCGAGTCACTATCGATTGTTTCTTTGCCTCGATGACCATCGAGGTTTTTTTTATTCAAGTGCAATAGCATTATGACATTAGACTTTGCTAATTTTAAAGCGAAGAGAGAGCATGTGAGATAAAACGCCAAATTTTATTTCCTAGCCATCTCGGATATTAATCGAACATTTTGCCACCCTGCAATATTGAGTCTAAAAAGTATAACGATAATTTCTCTCGCAGCGATGCTCCTAGCTCAACTGAAAGGCCAAGCGGACGCATATATTTCTTCCGTTCTCACTGAAAGATTTTCCCACAACGTAAGATATTTCTGTTTTTTCAGCTAGTCAGTTAGAGACGTGTGATAACATATAGCTATAAAGAAATTTTAGGTTAGAAGTATATGCTATATTCATAACATGCGGCAAACGCCGCGGGTCTTCTTTCTCCCCAGTACTCAGACAATATATATAAATATCTTTTTAAGGAGTCTTGGCATAATAAAGAAGCAATCGAAGCTATTTTGCTATCCACGTGCGAAGTTTAGAAATATTCTATACTCTGTACAATTTTCTATATTACCATTAGGCAACAATTTATATTTTTTAAATTGGTCGGCAGCGGAATTAAAAAAAATCTTGCAAAAAAATAAATAATATATTATTGTTGACGGTTGGTGAATGTTGGGAACCGAGATTTCACATCTATCAAAAGTTTCCACCGTTATCAGGACATGTTCTGTGTGGGAAAATGCTTTAAATTATTAATAGCCTATTCCCACAGGCGACCTTCCACCATCCATTTTAAGATGGTCCGTAAGGTTTTCCCGTTCGAAAAATTGCCCAGTGTTCCACCAACCATCTTGGATGTTATTAAATCACTTGTTTCTATGCGATATTAAGCATATAGTTTACTAATGCAATCCTAAAAACAAATTTTGGGTTACGCAGCTCAGTATACCCAAATACTCATAGATGATGGCCAGTGGTGCAGCAATGAAGTAAGTCCCTAGTTTTGTTGGTTTTTTGCACTGCCCACTATACCGATCCGACACAGTCATGAACCGACACCCGAGCCTTTAATCGACACCAATCGCGAATGACTATCGTTTTCAAATTCTCTCATCTTGCCTTTTTTTCGATATGCTATAGGCCATATATTTAACCTAACAATCGTCGCCTTTCAAATAAATTGATCGCAACATACTCTGCTAAAGAAGCTCAGTAGCTAGAAACAATCTTTATTGGTTGTTTGGTTTATTGGTCTCCCATATTGGTTGTTACTCCTTGGTTGTTACTTTGGTCACCTGGCGTAGTTGAAAGTACTCATCCATGACCTAGCCTGTTGTGGTGACATCTAATGGTGACAGCGTGTGGAAGTGGCTCGACCAAAGACTGTCCAGCCAAGCTGGGTGTGCAATTGGTTGATTCTCCTTTCCTCTGCGGATATCTGAAAGCAGGATCTGTGGGATTACGTCCGCTCCCAGCAGCAGATCAATCCGTTGTGATTTGTAGAACCTGAGATCGGCGAGTTCTATTCCGTTCAAATGAGGATTGCGATGTAAGCGTTTTAAGTATAAACGGAGTACCAACGGTAGTACAAACCTGTGAAGTACAAGAACTTAATGACAATTCTGTAGTGTAGGTACACCTGTTCTTGGAGGTGGTCCCAACTCCAGCAATTTCTGCCGAAATTGGATGCCACTTGAGGTTAAGAGCCTGCACTGTGTGCTCTGTAATGAGGGTTCCTTCCGAGCCTGAATCCACTATCGCACGTACCACAGCTGATTGGCCAGTGTGGTGGTTGTAGATATGTGGTAAACGGAGCCTGGCCGATATCATATAGGTACCCTATTCCACTGTTTCAATTGGAATCTCCCGTTGGCATTATGACACTTATCAGCTTTTTCCATACTTCGATTACCTCTTATATCGTTTTTATATATATATATATATATATCGATACAACTTACAATATCAATCTCATTTGGGAAGAACTGTGACTTTTGTGTGAAATGAAAATTAAGAATATAAATTCTTCTTATTTATAAAAAAACTAAAATGGTTTCTATGCAATTTGTGTTGCAACCTCTTCCAGGCAATGATGATCAATTTATTGAAAGGTAAATATAATAGTGGAGCTGCGCTCCTACGCACATGGGAATATAAAATTATTTGTGAAAATATATACATACTAATACACACACATATGTTAGCTGCATGTTGTTTCTTTTAACAAGAACCATAAATATATACACAATTTGCATATATCCTTAGATAAGGAGGATACATATGTATATCTCGGGCAGTATGGCTATAGATATGTATGTACTTCATGTAGGTGTATGTATATACATATATATATTTTCCAGAATGTGCACCGAAAAGTATGGATATAATAGTTCAAATCTGTTCCTATGCTGTTTTTCGAAATGATATAATTTAATAATTTTAAGTTATTCTATTATATATTCGTTTAGTTATTCTATGTAAATTACTACATAAGTAATCTTGCGATCCTGAATACATATCTACATGCATACACATGTTTAAGCGCACATATATTTTTAAGTATATAACACTTTCGGCAAACTATGTTGTGAATTATCAAGCTTAATACAAAATGCTCCGAATATTTGTGTGCAGCTTTGTTTAATGTAAATACATATATGTACGTTGGGTCGCATATGTATTAGTTGCAAGCCAATCAAATTTTATTTATTTTTTATAGACGGCCACTTCTAACAAATTATTGTTACTTACGCTGTAAAAGACTACGCAAAAAAAAAAAAGTCTAAATTGTTCAGCTAAAAAATATTGGGATATTCTCCATGCAATCGTTAACATTGCTCCAATGATATCCATGCTCCAGAAATAATCGTTCAAAGAGATAATCGTTAGTATATTTCAACAAAACGCTGACATGGCAAAGACCTGTCGAGGCTTTAAAACTAATTACAGAACTTAATAAAAATACATGAATTAGGTTAAAGAAATGTTATTTTTAAAGTATAAATATGAAATAGTTAAAATTAAAAATTAAAAGTTTCAATTTCCACGTGGCGAGCTGCGCACAACTTGTTGTTTGACCGATCGTTCCTATGCGAGCAATGTACTATAGTGGTCCTATATGGTCGATTCCAACGTATCATCTGTCTATTTCTTAGGGAAGACTATTATATTGAAATAACTTTAAAACTAAGAGACTAGTTTACATAAAAACAAACGGCTTTTGTTAAAGTATTGCAGTGTGTGTATCTCAATCCACCATATTCTTACCGGTCTAAGACTATTTCCCGGTTCTGAAGTGATTCCCAGTAGTAGATGGCACTGGAGCCGCGATTGGCAGACTGCATTGACCACGCCGGTGCGTCTATTTCCGTTAATTGGGCACAACTGTTCTAGACTGACGCTAAGTTAATGGCTCCGCACTGGTATAACTTTGCTGTGAAAGGGCAGCGATCTTTGATTTAGCTGGACCCAAGCTGAAGTCTTCAGAACAAACGATCAACAATTCGATTTTCAATTATTGTTTATGTTACGCCCTGCCCTATATTCTTAGATCCCGACACAAATTCTCGAATGGTGTTACACTGTTTTAAAGTAACGTATTTGTTTATTTATTAACCTTCAAAATTTTTATTGTAGAGTACGGGAAGTTTCGGAAAAAGTGAATCGATTTGGGTATGGCACTCATCGTATATTTGAGCAATTGAAAATTCCAGTAAGAGAAGTCGTTATTGGGCCTACCCATATTGGTGTACTTCTTGAGGATGGTAAAGCATTTCGAGTATCATTTTCTATCAACTCTGAAAAGCTTGATTTGACTAAATCTGATACTAAATGGTATGTTAAGAAGTTATGTATTTTTGTACGATTTTATGTTTACATGGCTTTTTTTTATAAGTTCCACAACTGGTGCCGGTGGAACAACCAATGCTTCAAAGGCTCCTTCATCATCGCGTCCCATGGCCCGTTCTAGGGCACGTCTTTTGCGTGCAACAGGCCGGTCAAGCTCAAGTGGTCAAGGATCCGGATCACGAAGTACCGGTGTAATTATAGGAGGCAGCACATCTAATCGTCCTTTGGTAACTGTACCAGCTACGTATGTCCCAGAGGAACTTATTTCACAAGCAGAAGTAGTTCTACAGGGCAAGAGCAGAAATCTCATAATAAGAGAATTGCAGGTAAGCGTTTAATTTCTACAAACTAATTCAGAAATTATAATAAATTATTTTAAAAGCGCACCAATTTAGATGTAAATTTAGCTGTAAACAATTTGCTTTCGCGCGATGATGAAGAAGCTGAAGATACGGAGGAAGGTGCAGACAATTATGTGCCTGAAGACCTTATATCACTGTTGGACAATGGGTTTAGTGCAGATAATAACAGCGTTATCATCGATCCTTCAGATGGACTATTTTCAGAAGAAATATTCAGTAACTATTCAAGCATTCGAAAGTAAGTTTAAAAAAAACTTCGTTTTTGTGGTCCGATCGAGACGGTTCCAACGCATGGTCGCTAATGGTCGTTAAAATGGTCGCTTAACAAGTCTCGGGCAGCTATATGAAAACGATAATATGGCATTATACAACATTTATATTATTTTTAGTTTACTGTTCGACCGTATACGTAGTGAGCGCAGTAATTCCAACACAAACGCAGCAGAAAGTAATCAATCAAACCGTTCAACGACATCAGGTGGTTCTATATCTGGAAACAGTGGACTCTCAGCTCAAATATCTGTTAATGCTGATCGCGAAGCGTTCAGTCGTTGGCGGGATCGTCAGTACTACGGGCCGCGCCGCTGGATAAATAAAGACGATTATACATGGGAGAAGGATGCAGGTAATTTTGAAAAGATATATTTCGTACTTCATAACTTCTCCAAACCATTTTATATTAGATTCGAAAAAAAAAGAACCTTCATCAATGTTGTCTCCAATATGGATATCGGAGG